AAAAGGCAGGCAGAACCTGATCTTGCGAGATGGGGTGCTACTGGCCGTCCGGGTCGGGCGCCCCTTCTCGGCGGGGCATCATTTTGAATAGGAAATGATCGCTCGCTCTAAACGGGAGATTGATCCCTGGCTAGAAATCAAGAAAGCGAAAACTTTTGTGCTTAGCCACAGCGAGGCTAGGCTGTTCCTACATGAGTAATTTTACCCTACAAAAGAAGCAATAATAAATTTTTAGCCTTTTACAAGCGCTGGTTTTCGAGAAGTATTTATTTTACTGAGGTGATTCATGCTAACATAAATTTTTCTCGAAAATTAGTGCGTGTAGAAAGCTAAAAACTCACGGTTGCACTTTTAAAGTTCCTAGTATACAATCACATTACTCAAGCTTTGTTCAATTTGAGTTAGGTCGCCAAAAGTTTGAAATTACGAAAAAATCCGGAGCGAGCAGTATATAAATCTATAGTCTACCCTTGCAAAGTTTGCCTCAAATGAGTATCATAGTGTAGAGTTATGATCTTTGAGCAAGCAGACAAAACAGCAAATTCAATTTTTTCCGGCAATTTTTTCAAAAATCGTATCTTTTCGGAAAGATGCTCAACTAGCAGAAGCTTAGCACATTTGAAAGAGGTGAATCATAAAATATATGCTACTGCTCGCTCCAAATTTTTTTGACATCCGATTTGAACTTTCAGATTTGTGGCGACTCAAGAAATAACCGAAGCTGAGGCCTTTTTTTGCTTACTTCTGCTTCTATCTCAAAGGCTTGCTCTTATCTACAATACAGCTCACATTTTTTGAAAAAAAGACGCGAATGTATGGACATGTATGGACATGTACGGACATGTCCATACATCAGCGTCGCGTGGCCATATCTCGCTTCAGAGTGGACGAATTCTGAATCCAAAGCTACCATTCGATTCAGCTCGGCGCGGAGGATCTTCTGATATATTGGAAGTGGGGGTACGATAGGCATACGGTAGAAGGTCACTTTACACTGGTACGCCTGAAACTCTGCATGGAGGGCTTTTTCGATGTGCTCATTACAAAAACAACATTTATTTGTTGCGCTTGTGGTACACTGTAGAGTTACAGTAAGTGTACGGTGAGAGACGATTTGCGCATGTATATGTTCGAAAATTTGCTCAGTGGGGCATCAAATGCGCTGATTATAATAAACTGACCCATTCGGCAATGGAGGCGAGTACGGTAGGTGTATGGCAGCCTGCCAGTTTCAACTAATCTTTCCAAATTTCTGCCTGGGTTGGGTTGCATGCGCTGATTACATACACTGACATAGGCAGACATACGGTAGGTATACTAAGAAGGTTACTTTGTGGGATCCGTTTGGAATTTCCCAATTGTCGCAAACATGCCAATGCATGTAATCAGCGCACTGTGCAACCCAACCCAGGCAGAAATTTGGAAAGATTCGTTGAAACTGGCAGACTGCCATACACCTACCGTACTCGCCTCCATTGCCGAATGGGTCAGTTTATTATAATCAGCGCGTTTGATGCCTCACTGAGCAAATTTTCGAACATATACATGCGCAAATCGTCTCTCACCGTACACTTACTGTAACTCTACAGTGTACCACACGTGCAACAAATAAATGTTATTTTTGTGATGAGCACATCGAAAAAGCCCTCCATGCAGAGTTTCAGGCGTACCAGTGTAAAGTGACCTTCTACCGTATGCCTATCGTACCCCCACTTCCAATACATCAGAAGATTCTCCGCGCCGAGCTGAGTCGAATGGTGGCTTTGGATTCAGAATTCGTCCACTCTGAAGCGAGATATGTCCATACATGTATGGACATGTCCATACATTCGCGTCTTTTTGTTCAAAAATGTGAGCGGTATTGTAAAAGCATCAAGGATTCCTCTCTCTAGCAAAAATAAGTTTGTGCAAAATTTGTCGAGAAGCAATAATGAATTTTCAAAAATTGTGTGATGTGACAGAACTGTACCAATTTACCCTAATTTCACGCGCATAAGGCGCGGGGGATTTTCTTTCCAAAATCGACCAGCCCAGACACGCCAAAGGACTTTACAACCAAAGGACACTATAACGTGCTGTCTATTGCTTGAGAGAATCGTGTGATAGGATTTCCTTCCGGAATAAAGTGAAGCGGCTGAGCGGCTCGCTTGAAAATTCGAAAGAGTGCGCCTTATACGCGTGAAATTAGGGTGATATGTGTTTAAGCAAATTAGGATTTTTGCATTTATTTCCGCAGAATTTAATTAGATGGAGTTCCGATTATTTTTCGATTTCCAGGCTTTTACATCCTTTGAGTTTTTCCCTCCTCGAGAAGCACCTTAAACAAATTTTCGTAGTGCATGGCTAACGCCAAGCATACTCCCCCCCCCCCCTCCCGGACGGAAAATTCTGCGATTGTTATAAAAGTTATGTGATAAGTTAATAGTTATCTGTCTACAGTATGATTGCTACAAATGAAACTCTGCAAATGTTCTCGGATTTCGAACTTTTGATTGCCAAGACGACTACAAATATGTTGTTACAAATGGTGTACCGGGGGGGGGGGTGGGCGTGGAGAACGCATGGGAGCGAAATTTTTGAGAAATACGAAATGAGTTATAAAAATGTGCAATGACTTGTTTACACTTGTATTAATTGAAATGATTTTTAAAAAATTTTAAAAATTTATAGGAAAGACAGTTTCTGCTTCTGAGCTGATTTCGCATCCAATTTATCTTACAGCAACTACACGAAAAGAAAAACTCGCATTTTCGCTGATTCATAATCAATTATGGTCTCTTCATAACTAGTGATGAATTTCCCGATGAACTTATTAGCGAATTTTCAATGTGATTTAATTGCCAATGGAAAGTCAAGAAATAAAGATCCAACTTTCCCTGATATATAGGAATGTATGGAGTCACTTCCCTATGTAATATTCCAACTTTTCTTTTGAGCTCCAAATATATGCACAAACTATTCGCTATGAAGTACATTACAGAAGTTTTGAGCAAACTATTGTTATTGTAAAATGTTCTCAAACACTCAAGTGATGCATTTTTTCCTAAAGAATACGTTTTCGGTGCTCAATCAAGCAAGTATTGAATCATTGTTTTGAGGACTATAGAAAAAACGTTGCATAGCGATAATGCTGCAGCGTTTTGAAAAATTAAAGAGGACTTCTGTTTTCCTCAATGGGGAAGCCGAAGCAATTTTCAGGAAAGCGCACTTGCATGAAAATTGGCTTAGATATTCTGATACCGTAATCACTACAGCTCAATTAAGTTAGCGTTTATCAAAGCAAATTCAGCCATTATCACAATTTCGATGTGAAGAAGAATTTGATTTGTAAAAGAAAAGCGTAATATTCGTCATGTGAAATTGAAGCGTCATGTAACTACGATGAAGGAGGAAGTATATCATGAACGCAAACTTTTTTACCTTTCTATAACCATCTTTTGCATTCTATCTTATGTAAGTCACTGCGATGTTTAGAACTTTCTTGAGCTTATGGAAGCATAACATTGGTATTCAGAGTGTTAGCGTTCTTTGCCGGTAGATTTTTTACGCTGGTCTTCTTATCGGCAACTTTTTTTCATCGAGAACTTAGACGCAGAAGAGACGAAGGTGTAGTCTATCTTAAAGTATCGCTTGCAGATAAATCCGCTAAAATTCTGTACTTACAGAGACTGCGAACACATGGCTTTCTGTGACTTTTGAAACCTCTTGGTGTCTTCTTTCTAAGTAAAAATCAATAAGTCCGCAGCTCTCGAAGTGTTCTTTTCAAGCATGTAAATATTATGACAAAATTCATCCTTTACAAGATTTTTTGGAATGATCTTCGCCTTAGCGCATCACAGTTGCGCAAAAAAATTGAAGGCTTTTCTGAACTTTTTTTCGCCAGGCTCGTGCGCTTCAAACTTTCTAGATACACTAAAGAGCTCTTCGAAATCTTTAGAATGGTGTAGAGCTAGCAAGTATTCTTACACTTTCAAGAAACCACATAACCTTGAAGTTAAGATAAGCTCTTGGTGGAATTGACCGTAAGCGCTCCTATCATGTTACAAGATTTGTAGGTAGAAAGTGAAGTTTTAGATCTCGTGGAGGAGAAGCTGTCGAAAGCTAAGGAGTACAATGAGTTCCATCACATGAGCCTAATTTAACAAATTTTGAGAAGATCTAGGTCCGAAAATGAGAACATATATGGATTTGAATCGATTCCCTGCATAGGTACATTGTCCCCTCATCAGGGCTCGGCAAACGTGGTTTTTAAGCAAGGTGGATATCGTTTTTATCGGAACAAAAAGGAAAGTGGACATTTTTGAGGATCCGAAATTAGGTTTTTCGGAGGTGAAAGTACTTGGTAAAATTTTGCGAATAATAGAGGGACTTCGTTTTTTCATCTTCGAAAAGCCACCTCCTGCCGAGCCCGGCCCCTCATGCTTTCGTCTGTTCCTAGTTGTCAGTATGTTCAGTTTCAATTGTTCTTTTCATCATGTTTTCGTTAAGACATATGCGGCACTTCATATTATAGAACAAAGAAAATGTTTTAACAACAATCAGCATACATCGCACTCCAGATTTTTCGAGGTAGCAGCTAACGTCAGGATGTGTTTTTTCATCCCTGCTATATTTTTATACGCCATGTGGCATACTGAGAAAGCTGAGGACATAACATAACGACGAAATACGTTTTCACAAAGAAGCAGAGATCTCAGACTTTTACTTTGCCAATTCAGAAATCTTTTACATGATACAGTACAAAAAATTACCGTTTTTGCTAGTTTACTATGACTAGGTTATCAAGGAGAAGGAACAGTCTCAAGAGCTGTAAATCTATAAATAGCACATTTTAGTCAATATATCAGCTATTAACGAGGCACAGGAATTTTATACTTTACCAAGAAGAACCGAACAAAATTGCAAAATGGTGTTGCTATATGAGGAAATAGTTATTTACGCTCATGGAAAATCCTCTGGTCTTTATGATGGTTGCAGATCAACAAACTCATTACCATAACCTTTTATTCTTAACAAACACATTCCACAGAAACTAATACGATGGAGAACCACTCAAAAACGTTAATAGTTTCTGTTCGTTCACGTTAGGTAGTAATCAAACGTTTTTTTTTAATCTGTACACTGAGCCAACTTATCGCACGTCTAAAATGCAGAATTTTTTAACTTACAGAAAAGGGTGAAGATTTACGTACCTGAGAGTTCTGTGACCAATTGGATTAGAGGTATCCACCACTGCTTTGTCGGGATGCGATGTTCAAAGCAGACTTCTTTCAACAGATCGGATACTGAAGTAAATTTAAGGGTTTTTCCAACGAGACCCAGCACGCAACAGTCGCTTTCGCCCATTTTTTTAGGGTCAAGAAATCCTTGGAAAGCAAAAATTGCTTTTCGTAAGCCCATTTGACGATCGAACGCTGACGGTGGTCCACCCTCTTGCGCATGGCAGAGCTTATCTACTTGTATGGATAACTGCAATGCAACTATTACATTGAAATTTTTTGGTCAGGGGAGGGGGGTACCGTACCCGACTATCGATGTCATATGCGCTAAGTGCGGTCTTCAAACGTTCACAGCTTGTCTCTTCACTTGCTCCTTCGCTTCTTATGATGGTGTAGTGACTTAGACCTGACCTGAGCTTTGTGTAGGCATCCTGAAAAATAAATTTTTCAAAGAAAAATTAGCCTAAAATTTACGATCAACCTTAGCCATCTTCTCGATGTCTTTGTCATTGATTTTTTCTTGAAAAACAAGTACTTTATCTGCGCCTGTAGCTAAAGCAGTCATCGTGGCTAGGTAACCACTTCTTTCACCCATAACCTCAATGATTTGTATCCTGAAAAAAAAAAACTCCTAGCTATATGCATCATAGATTATAAACTTACCCCTTTCTGCTCCCCCTAGTGCCTTGCTCTATGTTGTCAACTTGACGGCAGATTTCGTTCAGGGCGGTATCACTGCCGAGCGAGTTACAAGTCTAGAAAACCAAAAACTCAATTTTTCAAGAGGGTGTAAAAAGTGGCGAAAATCTACCCCAGGGACATTATTCGCCACTGAACATGGTATGACTATTATTGGGATGTTCAATGCAGCATAGCTATTTCGAGCATCTTGGAGTATTTTAGCTGAGTGGAAAGCCTGAAAAGTTAACTTTTCTAAAGTTCAAAAGTTAAATCCTAAACCCATGTTTACTTCGAATCCTCCAACAATGAGTAGGCCTTCAATATTTTGGTCATTCAAAGCCTCAGCAATCTTTTCGACATCAGTTGGCAGCTGACGCTTACATCCTAATTCAGATCCACCTCGAGACATCCATCCAGCTACGTTTCCCCAATTGAGTTCCTAAGAACTCATATTTTAGGTCTTCTTTGAAGATTCTAGAAATTTTATCAATTTCTTTGAATCAAGCGCAGCTTTATAAAGCAGAAATGATATCATTTTTTACTCTTTTGCGAAAATTAGAGGAGGAAATTGCTGGAAAATGCAGAACGAATCTTCAAGAAGCTCAAGAAGAATAAAATTTTACATGAATCCAGATAAACAAGCTTAAACTCTCTAATTTAATAATCAAATCGCTATTATCATATATGAAATTTGATTTACTTTTTTCATGGTTTTTAATTCATACTAATGATCAGCTCGCGTACTTACCACAAACCTTCCTTCCATCAAGCCTTCCCAGCTTTGTTCGATTCCATAAACATTATATTTTGAGTGATTTGCGATGCGCACGAAGGCATGTGTGACTCCGTTCATACCTGAATTGAGATCTTGTGAGCTGCAATCATCAAACTATTTGCACACCGGCCGCTGGAGATCCAACATGAATGACACCGAAATTCTTCGAAAGCCCGAAGAAGAAGTTGGGTGGTTCAGCAATGAGCTTAAAAATAAAGTTGAGAATTTGCTCGTAAAGGCGTGGGGCAGCTGACTTGAACAAAATCCGTTTTTTGCCTAAAATTCCTACCACGGATATCAACAGCTTCACCGTAGTAACCCTTACGAGCTTCTTCTTTAACCTAAAAAGGTATGGTATAGGATAGCATTTAGGTTGTGGGTCACCGAACTAAAATTTTCTACCTTTCTCGTATAACTAGTGACTTTTGACAGAGGAAGTTGAACAATCACATGACCTAAACCAAATTCATTGTCCACACTCAAACTATCTGAGAACTTCTACCTTTCAAGCAGAGCACTTGCGGCGAGGCAGGCTCGCTTCTCAACAAAGCATTTATTGCTTCAGCCCCCATTCGGCAGCCTAGTAACCTATCGAGAAACGATGGGCGACCTCCTCGTTGTAGATGGGCAAGGCGAGAAACACGGACATCGTACTGAAAAGTAGATTACTGGTGTAAGTACAATACCGCTCATAATTCGTCAAAAAAGTCGCCGAACTGCGGCGCACTCCGCCACACTCCGCCACAGTGCGCCGGAGTGTGGCAGAGTGCGGCGGAGTGTGGCAGAGTGCGCCGGAGTGCGGCAGAGTGCGCCACACTCCGCCGCAGTGCGCCGGAATGATCGTCAATTTAGCCATATCTCGCTTCAGAATGGACGAATTCTGAATCCGAGGACACCGTTCGATTCAGCTCGACGAGACGCATCATCCTATATATGAAGCTGAACTTCTGTTTGTCTGTATGTCTGTACGTATGTTCATTTCTGAACCGATCCGGACCAAACTTGGCACACATACACTTCGGGCACCGGCGGATGTCATAGGCTACTTTTCTTCATCGATCGATATAAATTTTATGATTTTTAGCGATTTTTTTGCAGAGTTCACCTATGGGGCTGGGAATTTGCATAGGGGGGTAATCGAGCATGGGGATTCCGAATACAATATTAGTTTTCGATTATCGATTACTTTTATCGATTTTATCGATTTTTTGCAAAGTTTGAGCTACGGGGTGGGAGTTTGCACAATCACAATGGTAATCGAGCATGGGGATTCCGAATACAATATTAGTTTTCAGATTATCGATTATTATTATGATTGAATTCAGTGTGCTGATAACAGTATTACCATTAATCTGTCGCTGATGACACATAGACAGTATACTATAGGAGTATGGTAGAGAGCCGCTCTGATCGAATTTGTTCTAAGATCTGCTCAAGATCACAATACCGCGCACAGAATGTCAAAATTTCCGTGAACTTCGCGGAATTCCGGGATTTCCACCAAAGTGCGTGATAATCCGGGAAGTTCGCGACATTTCAGGATCCGCGAAACCATGCGAATCACGCAGAGAACGCAACGCCATAACATCCTTCGGAATGAATATATTCCGAACCCAGAAGCAGCATTGTGTTCAGATCGTCGAGGCAAATATTTTGATATACAGTATGCTCTCGATATTCCAATTCCAGTTTTTTCGAATTTTTTTCTGTGGAGGTCTTTTCGCAAGGATGTAACGCAGCGTCTGTGTAACATAAAAGATTCCAGTAAGCACTGTTCGATAGTACTGTCCTTGTAGATTATCGTGCGTTTAAGAGTAGCTGCAGACTGTCTCCCAAAAGAGACAGAAGCATTGGTGAATTTTGGAAAAATCACGCGTTTCTAAATTCTACTCGCCGTAACTTCCTTCGGAATGAATATATTCTGAATCCGAAGAGAGCTTTGTGCTCAGTTCATCAAGGCAAATCTTTCGATATACACCATATCCTTGATATTCCGATTTCAATATTCTCAAATCTTTCTGTAGTCGTTTTTTTGTGAAGGTGTAAAGCAGCGCGCATTGCTCCTAGTAGACTCCAGCAAGGACCTTTCGATAGTACTTTTTCTGTAGATTACGCAGCTCTAAAAAGTAGTCACAGGCATCTTTCCATAGGAGTTAGAAGGGCTGGTGAACTCTGGAAAAATCATGTCGTTCTAAATTTTTCTCAACGTAACTCTAAAATATGAAGCTCTCTTGCTAAGCAGATGTGATTTTCGTAATCAGCAGGTCGGATAACCCTTAGAAGCAAGTTTTCCAAGATGTTCGAGTAATTTCATTTTTTCTCGTTTTACGCTCTGAAGCTGCCCGATGGATTTTGGTCAAAATGTTCATGCTCTTAAATTGTAAGGAAACTTCGCTTATAGAGGTTTTAAATACGCTCTTTACGAAAATCGTGGTCTTTGAGGATTACAGGGTCTTCTTGGAGAGATACGGTGAGGTGACTGTAACTGCATCACGAAAGCTCGTAACTTCGCCTCCACCTCTCACGTGTCTGTCAAAGAACCTGCCTGCTTGCTTTACTAGTCAAAGATACTAAGAGATGTGCTATCGAATGGCGCAAGACTCAGGCTCCAGTCTATAAAATTCGCCGAGTTACGAGCCTACGAAAACACGTTCTCATGAATTTTGCTCAAAATGTAAAGATCGCAGATTTCGTCGAAATTCCACCGTGAGTGCTTGTACAATACGCTGATCAAATCTTTTCACATTCTTAATAGATCTTATTGTGAGATTTGGTGATTTGAGCTTTAGCCACAAAACAGCTTTGATATCAATTGCTGAAGCACACGCAAGCACCATATTCAATACGGTGGAGTTATTGAGCGAAGCGAACATAATATCCGCAATGCGAGCGTGATACAAGCACTCACGGTGGAATTTCGACGAAATTTGCGATCTTTACATTTTGAGCAAAATTCATGAGAACGTGTTTTCGTAGGCTCGTAACTCGGCGAATTTTATAGACTGGAGCCTGAGTCTTGCGCCATTCGATAGCACATCTCTTAGTATCTTTGACTAGTAAAGCAAGCAGGCAGGTTCTTTGACAGACACGTGAGAGGTGGAGGCGAAGTTACGAGCTTTCGTGATGCAGTTACAGTCACCTCACCGTATCTCTCCAAGAAGACCCTGTAATCCTCAAAGACCACGATTTTCGTAAAGAGCGTATTTGAAAACCTCTATAAGCGAAGTTTCCTTACAATTTAAGAGCATGAACATTTTGACCAAAATCCATCGGGCAGCTTCAGAGCGTAAAACGAGAAAAAATGAAATTACTCGAACATCTTGGAAAACTTGCTTCTAAGGGTTATCCGACCTGCTGATTACGAAAATCACATCTGCTTAGCAAGAGAGCTTCATATTTTAGAGTTACGTTGAGAAAAATTTAGAACGACATGATTTTTCCAGAGTTCACCAGCCCTTCTAACTCCTATGGAAAGATGCCTGTGACTACTTTTTAGAGCTGCGTAATCTACAGAAAAAGTACTATCGAAAGGTCCTTGCTGGAGTCTACTAGGAGCAATGCGCGCTGCTTTACACCTTCACAAAAAAACGACTACAGAAAGATTTGAGAATATTGAAATCGGAATATCAAGGATATGGTGTATATCGAAAGATTTGCCTTGATGAACTGAGCACAAAGCTCTCTTCGGATTCAGAATATATTCATTCCGAAGGAAGTTACGGCGAGTAGAATTTAGAAACGCGTGATTTTTCCAAAATTCACCAATGCTTCTGTCTCTTTTGGGAGACAGTCTGCAGCTACTCTTAAACGCACGATAATCTACAAGGACAGTACTATCGAACAGTGCTTACTGGAATCTTTTATGTTACACAGACGCTGCGTTACATCCTTGCGAAAAGACCTCCACAGAAAAAAATTCGAAAAAACTGGAATTGGAGTACCGAGAGCATACTGTATATCAAAATATTTGCCTCGACGATCTGAACACAATGCTGCTTCTGGGTTCGGAATATATCCATTCCGAAGGATGTTATGGCGTTGCGTTCTCTGCGTGATTCGCATGGTTTCGCGGATCCTGAAATGTCGCGAACTTCCCGGATTATCACGCTGGTGGAAATCCCGGAATTCCGCGAAGTTCACGGAAATTTTGACATTCTGAGCGCGGTATTGTGATCTTGAGCAGATCTTAGAACAAATTCGATCAGAGCGGCTCTCTACCATACTCCTATAGTATACTGTCTATGTGTCATCAGCGACAGATTAATGGTAATACTGTTATCAGCACACTGAATTCAATCATAATAATAATCGATAATCTGAAAACTAATATTGTATTCGGAATCCCCATGCTCGATTACTGTGATTGTGCAAACTCCCACCCCGTAGCTCAAACTTTGCAAAAAATCGATAAAATCGATAAAAGTAATCGATAATCGAAAACTAATATTATATTCGGAATCCCCATGCTCGATTACCCCCCTATGCAAATTCCCAGCCCCATAGGTGAACTCTGCAAAAAAATCGCTAAAAATCATAAAATCGATATCGATCGACGAAGAAAAGTAGCCTATGACATCCGCCGGTGCCCGAAGTGTATGTGTGCCAAGTTTGGTCCGGATCGGTTCAGAAATGGATTTTTCTATTCGGAACATAGGTACAGACATACAGACAAACAGAAGTTCAGCTTCATATATAGGATGATGCGTCTCGTCGAGCTGAATCGAACGGTGTCCTCGGATCCAGAATTCGTCCATTCTGAAGCGAGATATGGCTAAATTGACGATCATTCCGGCGCACTGCGGCGGAGTGTGGCGCACTCTGCCGCACTCCGGCGCACTCTGCCACACTCCGCCGCACTCTGCCACACTCCGGCGCACTGTGGCGGAGTGTGGCGGAGTGCGCCGCAGTTCGGCGACTTTTTTGACGAATTATGAGCGGTATTGTACAGAAGGAATTCTGTGATTGTTAAGAAAATCTAAAAATCTTATTTTAGCAACTCTTTTTCTAGAAGGCTCAAAAATGCTCAAGCCCAAAAAATTGCAAAGTTCTTTCATTTACTGCTCCGCCTTCAGGAACATTCTTTCCTGGTTTTTCTCTTATACTGCCTAAAAAATTATTCGTGATTTCCACAACGTAGGAAATGGAAAAATGGCAACATGCAGCCCTATGATATTTTGCTTCTATTAAACTCCATATCTCGTCTAAGCGTTCTTCAATAAATTTGGTGCTCATTTTAATAACAACTTTCATGTATATAGTAACTGCACCGCCAATCACAGAATTGATTTCAAAAGAACTAATGAAAGTTTGAATAGCTTTTTTGCGGACATTTTGGCATCACTGATGTATGACATTGAGATTAATGCTCAAGCGAATATTATGCAGATGCTCGTTTCGCTCGACATCACTTCTGGTCGCGTTGTCCGTTTCGCTTTCCGACTCGAATTTCATAGCATAGGATAGTGTGCAAAGAACGTAACAAAATCTGACCTTCAATTTGTCCTCCACAATCTTCTTAATATTGTCAGCAGTAATCGGCTTCTTATCCGAATCAACTGCTCCTTCTGAGACCAAAATGATGTGAAGTCTACTGCCGACCTGTAGCTTTCCATTTATAACCGGTCCATTTGTTGAAGGAAAGAAAGCCTCTACCTTACGCTTCCTTTGAAGATGACCACACAACACTTCAGGCCAATCTTGCGTTGGTGGCACTTCAGGAATGAAGACAAAATCAGCTTCTAGGGCTATCGCGGCAGTGAGCGCAATGGCGCCGCATTCTCTGCTCATAACCTTAAGAAATCACAATTCTTCGAGGAGAAGCTGAATACGTTACTCTAAATTCTTCTTTTCTTATGATTATGATATGCAAAGATGCACCTCGACAACGAAAGTACGCTGCAAACTGTCAGCAGTCGAAGCTAAAGCGTCCACACATTCGATGACCCGCGCCATAGCGGAATCGAAACCAATTGTGCGATCGGTTCCGATAAAGTCATTGTCTATCGTTCTAAAATGGGAAACTTGAAGGGAAATCGGTGTATTTACATTTTGTTTTATAGACAGCATTGGGCAAAAAAAATACGGAAGATTGAGGAATTTTTCTATGTTAAATTTCGTGTTTGTCGGACTGACCCTGCTATACCGACGACGTACAAATGTTTTCCTTTTTCAGCTTGATCTTTTGTTATTTTACCTGAAACTTCACTCATCACATAATTGCTTTGAAATCCACAATTTGTTGGCGTTATAACTGTACATACAAGAATTTAGTGGGAATTCTACTTTACCCTCTTTTAAAAGTTCTGCAGTCAATGACTCCCATTCGTCTCTAAAGAGACCGATTCCTGTCAGAGCACCGTCACCTCCGATGCATATGAGATGGTAAATTTCGTGCGTGTGGAGGGTGATGGCAGCCTGAAACAAAAGACTAGCTCATTTGTAGGCTTGAAGGAGAAAGCGCCACGGTATGGCTTTCCCCCCCCCCCCCCCCAAAGCACACAATATGTGTATTCCGGGGACAGCCTTGCACTGCAGGGGCTTAGGCATATAGGCTACTAGCTGGCTTACCCGGCTCCGCCGTATGTTCCGAATAGAAAATTCCATTTCTTAACCGATCCGGACCAAACTTGGCACACATACCTTTCGGGCCCCGGCGGGTGTCACAGTCCACTTTTCGTTATCGATCGATGTCGATTTTATCGATTTTTTGCAAAATTTAAGCTACGGGGCTGGGATTTGGCACAGGGGGGTAATCGAGCATGCTGATCACCCCCGTGGGGGTGATCAGCATGCTCGTTTACCCCCCCCCCCCTTGCCAAATCCCAGCCCCGTAGCTCAAACTTTGCAAAAAATCGATAAAATCGATAAAGGTAATGCGCGGTTTCGAAAACTAATATTGTATTCGGAATCCCCATGCTCGGTTACCCCCCTGTGCCAAATCCCAGTCCCGTAGCTCAAACTTTGCAAAAAAATCGATAAAATCGATAAAAGTAATGCACGATTCTAAAAACTTATATTGTATTCGGAATCCCCATGCTCGGTTACCCCCCTGTGCCAAATCCCAGCCCCGTAGCTCAAACTTTGCAAAAAATCGATAAAATCGATAAAAGTAATGCACGATTTTAAAAACTAATATTGTATTCGGAATCCCCATGCTCGGTTACCCCCCTGTGCCAAATCCCAGCCCCGTAGCTCAAACTTTGCAAAAAAATCGATAAAATTGATAAAAGTAATGCACGATTTTAAAAACTTATATTGTATTCGGAATCCCCATGCTCGGTTACCCCCCTGTGCCAAATCCCAGCCCCGTAGCTCAAATTTTGCAAAAAATCGATAAAATCGATATCGATCGATGACGAAAAGTAGCCTGTGACACCCGCCGGGGCCCAAAGTGTATGTATGCCAAGTTGGGTCCCGATCGGTTCAGAAATGGAATTTTCCATTCGGAACATACGTACAGACAGACAGACAGACAGACATACAGACATACATACAGACAAACAGACATTCAGCTTTATATATAAGATGTTAGCCAGGGCCGTTCCCGCGCTAATATGCCTTGTTAGGGCGCGCCGCTGCATGCGACGCGCTTTACCACGTAGCAGAGTTCGCGCGCGTCACATCGCCGTCGCAAGTTGCCGCAGGCGCGACGTGGCATAATCGATGCTGGTTGTTACAGCCTAGTGTATATGTGAACGGTCTACAACACTATAATGGCATGATTAGTTCAAGTTTTTTGTGCCAGAGTACTGCTCATTTCCCTCTCTAATACAGCTCGGCATAAGAGCAAACAAATAAGAGGTGCGGCTGGAAGCTTCCAGCTACTATTCTAACCTGTACCTGGGTTTTGATTAGATGAAGTGCGCCAAAAACCATTCCAGCTTCAAGTTTTTAAGTTCACACTAGTTTGCTTCACAAACATCTAGTTATTCGCTCATCACTTCAGCACGGATTTCGTAAATGAGAATCCTCTTGGAATATGAGGACACCAATGATGGCACTGGGATGTTTTCAAGCGTTTAGCTGCGACTGCATCCAAATTAGTTCTACAGGTGGTTCCAAAGATTGAAGGAGCGGAAATCAGCGTCAACTGCTGACTGTTCTCGCCAACTCCGTTCGGGACTCCAGCCTGCGTATGTTTCGTAACCTGCTTGCGATCATCAAACCCTGTTTGCGAAAGCATGCCGTACGTAAGCTGAGCAATTTGTGATCTACTTATCGTTGTTTTGTATATTCATATTTATAAATTTTCTGATATTTTATCTCATTTGTTTCAAGTGGCTTCGCTTTGCTAGAGCAACCAAAATTCCACAGCTACTGTCGCCGTATACTCGTTTGCCGCATCCGAGAAGCGGAATAACTTGTGTTTCAAGGAGCGTAAGTGACTTGGGTTTGCCTTGTAGGTCCACTCACAAATTCGCTCTTTTTCTTCTAATCAATCGTGAGAAAGACTAAGATATCCTACTCAAATTTTGTTTGTATTTCTTATGTGAACGTTCAAAGGATTTAGTGCTTTGACGGATAGCAAGGTGCGTGTATATGCATGGGACAACGAGGTAATCTGCGTAGAAATGAGTGTGTACCACATCTGAGATTCGTGTTTATTTTTCAAACAAATTTACCAGCAATGTCTTTGCGCATCCCAGACTTTGTACAAGATGCGCTGGAGTCGAGTTTGAAGTATTTATCAAAGGGATTTGGATCTTGCGACAATACGCGCAAGCCAACGAGGACAATTTAGGGGTCGCCAGTGCTGTCACGAGTTGCGCGAATTCGCACTAAACCGAGAAGAGCAACAACAAATAATTTAGCCAAGAGAAAATTGGCACTGTGCCACGTCAAGACACCACGTTCATGTTTGGAGAAAATTTAGTTGACAATTGTGTGAAACGTAAGCCTTACTCGAATCTGCGGGACGTCCCAAACGAAACCTCTCTAGGCACTAACCGTGTTATCGAGAAGAATACGAAACAGATTCTATCACAAAACTTACATGTTTCTATTTTCAAAATAGAGCCACGCAAATTGATGGAGTCATTTTCGGACAGCCTCAACGAACGAACGTGCCCAATTTTGGGGAAATCAAAAGTAGGCTCGATGTGGTTTACGATGATATGACGAGCCTACAGCATAAGGAAACCATTAAGAGAAATTAAGAGAAACGATTAAGAGAAACCACAAATTGCAAAAGTAATAAACTCAAAAATATTCGATTCCGTTTCTTCCTGCCGCTAGATGGAAAAGGATATGTGTAAGATCTTCCGGAAATTATCAGTAGTGAGGAAAGGTCGTATCTTTTGGAAAGAACAATGAGACTAACTTCAATCCCCTTTAATTTAAATTCTGATCTCATTCCTTGTGTTCGAACCGATCTCAAACATACGTAATTGAACCAACTTCAAGCGATTATAAAGTAAAAAGAACAGGCAAGCCATCAAATGGAAGGACACGACGAAGCAAGCCGCTCTGATTATAAGATGCCATTCGTCATACCAACATTTATAACGAGTACGCAGACGAAGGCAAAGGCGGACATTTGCGAGAAAAAACGAAGACGATATACACGCACAACTGGACCAAACCGAACGACAGCTCAAGAAGAAGTCACGACAGCACCGTAAAGCAGACAGATTCGATGCTCAGGAAACTGTGCCGCATTGAAGGACTCCTAATTAAAAAGAAGAGGACCAACTAACGCCGGTTGGGATAAAATGCGCAACGTTCCTTTAAGACGTTACGCAGCATTTATCCCAACCGGCGTTAGTTTAAAAAAGGGCCACACGTCGTAAAGAATAAATTGAAGGAATTGAAGCTGCTCATAAACGCGACCATTAATGTAGTAATGCAAATTTCTAACTACTAAGAATTACGTCAGCAAATCCGTCACGAAAACAAATAGCAGAAACACGAACGACGAATAAAGTAGAAGAGGGACGAGCCGTAACCAGGGGCAAAAGGACCACACAATTCGTCAAAATTGGGCTTTTCACAGGAAATTGGAGCATTTCACTGAATTTGACAAACGGATCTATGGCGATGACGCTCTGAGAACTGTCCCATTCCCACATGCATATTCTGCCAGATGAAACACACGGGGATTCTCGTACAGTCGTTCTCAGTGGACAGAATAAGGACGCCGGCGCCTATCAGTCAGAAGTCTGCGTTTTCCACCTTTCGAAGAAAATGCACCAAGCCATGCCCGAACAGGACTGTATGCTACTGCCGAATCAACAATGACCATGCTAGTTTGTGCTATCTGCCTGAGGGACGTGAGCAGTCACAAATGGTCGATAATTTCCGGTTTTGTTGGCCAGCCCGGAGTGTGCTGAGGCCGGTTTGACCGACCGACCTCAGCACTACTTTGATCGATTTTCCCTGATCACAGATATTTAGATCGTAGTCCAGCCAGTATTGTACGACGTCCGCTGAATCCAGAAGATGAAATCGAAAATTTTTCCACCAAATAATAGGTTTATTCTGCTATAATATATTCATATCATCTTTTACCACATTACATTGTTCTTTCGTCATTCATGTTTTTGTTTAAAAACCAAGTTGATTGAGTCAAAATCAAAGTATCCAAGTTCGAGGTGTTGGGGATTACTAGAGTGGTTTTAGCCGCGTTTGCCAACTGTATTTTTGACTCTACGCCAACGAGAAGACGCACGTGGTACGCTAAACAAGAAGTGGCAGCGATAACGAAAGCATCCCAGCACAAATTAAGTTCGGATTGAGTTCGGATTGAATCCAGGAGATGAAATCGAAAAATTTTCCTTTTTATGTTTTCTCAGTTTTTCTTTTCTCTTTTGCTTGTATCAAGGATTGTAACTCCACCTCCCTTTTCGTTAGCCCTTCACCTCAAAATTGGTTGATGACTGGACAGGGCACCTAGGAGGATTGGCGAGAGGAGAGAGAACTAGTGAAGGAACGACTCACATATAGGTCATTGAATGAGATGCGCTATCTCGGTCATTGTTCATTTTGCACTGTTTTGCCATGGCATTCCGAGAAAACGGAGGATAGCGATTGTAGCATCTCGATACCTTCATGCAGAGGCCGGTGTATGACTCGTCGGCCTACTGCAACCAAGGGTTGGTCATGACAGAGCAGCTGTGTCATCCGAACGGAGGTGATGATTAAGCCTACTAACTCAATCATACTAACTCTGACAAAAACCTCACTACGTACTGTTCATTCAATCGCGATCCACAATCACCGACCAGTCAACAGGTCCTCGATTAGTGCCGCTTTGTTATGGGTGTGGGGGGAATGGATGACGAGAATGGACCAAATGCGCCGCGGTGTGCATGATGTGGAGAAACACTTTCAATGCGGGGCACCCTGAATCGTTTCCCTCTTTTTCAGTAGGAGCACATATGTATGGGACGAGATCCACAAAGTGCATCGAGTGCATCGTCAGGATGCTGGCAGGTCCCGCTAGAAGGTTTGATACTAATGTGATTGATCATCATGAAACACTGGAGGACGCCATCCGAAGACCCATCCTGCACGTGTCTCGGAATGAGTCTCCAAGAAGGGAGAATAAAATTCATGAGTGGCAGACCCTGATATTTTTAGAACTGTTTCGAAAGGCTTCAAATACATTACGCTTGCCAGGATAGAAAGAAGAAGGACAAGAATATCAACCTGCCAAGAGACGACAGAAATCTCGGCGCGAAGAGAAGAGAAAACTTACGCGACCCGGTGATGAAGGCCAAGAATAAGGCCCCGGGCAGACTTCACGCGAATTGATCGTCGCGACTCGCGCCGACATTTCCATTCATTTTCATTTCACATTCAAAATTTTCGGGCTGGAAAAGTATCACAACCGAAATGCAAGTTGATCGGCATGGAATGATGTTGTAACAGTTGTTTCGTCGCAATTCAGTCGCCACGATCAAATCGCGTGAAGTCTGTTCGGGGCCTAAGGCATCACATGAAACAAGGAGAGCAGTACTATCGACGATTCTCCTGAAATGACTCTCCTTCGAGGAGCCGGCGTGTGAACATAATAAGAGTGATTGCTATAATTTTTTTGCTGAAATTTGTTTTAGATTGCTGATCTGAATAATGTTATGTCTTGCTTTGCATGTTCGTGTTGGAACCGCTTGCCGTACGAACAGGCTATGATTGTGTGTATATTGTCTTGCTTAAGATGGAACTGGATTTAACGCGCCAGCGTGCGGTCTTTTTCTTCTATTCCCATTATTTTCATTAGGCTGATTCTTACTAATCGTGTTATTGGATGCTGCTGATAGCTCCCAGCTTTGGGTTTGCCGACATTGTCGGCACCTTTTTACAACTTATCCTTTCACACAATACCAGAAGGTCATGCTGCAAGTGTGGCTTACTGCGTCATCTCTCACCTATGTTACCTTACCACGCCTACCATCGGCAGCATTCAACCACTGCTCCATTGCGGGCACGTTAAAAGTCCCGATGCTACTAGAGCCTGTATGTGTTCTACATAGATCAGGGACCACTGACACACTAGGTGTACTCGAATGTCCCACAAGCTAAAGAAAGGGACCTCATATTCTTATTATACTTTTCTCCATTTCAACAAGAACGACGGCTTTTTCCGCATAAAACGGCACATTCACGGCATATTGTATTCCTTAAACACGACAGCACATTCACAGCACATCACATATAAATCATCATGGCTTAGAAATCATTTCGAAACTATAACAGCTTCCTCACAGCATAGAGGCTACCGCTCTACATACACTTCCACTTGGAAGATGATTTCCGATAACAAGTTCATGGTGCCATTTTGTTTGAGGCTATCTCTAAGATAGGTGCGTTGGAAGATTTCCTTTGACTCTAGCCACCATTCCCTTCGAGAATAGTTCAGAAACCTTGGCAAAATTACCTGCTTGCGCTCGTCCCTCTTGCGAAAGCTTTCACTTCTTGAAGCTCCAATCATCGTTCCACCTTTGTGAATGATATTCGAAACGGATTCCCATTTAGCCTCCTCAACTTTGTTGGTGATCAACCCTGGAGGTTTCCTATTACCGACATTTCAACACAAAACTTATGCAGCCCTCCACCACCTTCATAGCCCTCGTAAACGAAGAAAATCCTACAATTTCTTCTTAAACCGTAACGAACGATTGCGCGGATGGCGCTGTTCATCCCTGATGAAAAACATTATGAAGAATCAATTTGAGTAAGTCTTCATTCTACCTTGAGAATCGCTCCCGCTTGTGATGACTGCTATAGATTTCGGCAAGGGCTGCGCCATCCTGTCTGAGTGCAGACAATGCAGCCGTCAATATGAGATTCACGCTTCACCTCGTCGGAGGCCAGATAAGTAAAGAATGAATTCTACTTCCCAACGAGCATTTTGAAGCCGACTGTTAACATCGAGAGTTTGTTAATCATTTTCATATATCATTTTCACAACGGGGCGTCACCGAACGGTGGCAACAGACACTTTATTTACGTATTTCACCGCTGTTGGCGACTATAATACAGTGTGCCCCAATCGGCCGAACCGTGAGCTGAATTTGCGCGTGCGCAGCGCTAGGTGATTTTGCTGCATGTGCGCGCTGTCGCAGAGAGTGAAGAGATCGGGGAGAGCAGACTAGCTAGCCGCAGATGTGGCGCGAAACCTTCGCGGCGCGGACTCCCGCCATGCCGGTTTTGGCCTGGTTAGGATTGGGGCAGACTATATGCCTGAATAATTTTCACCTAGCACCGTTGTTCAACAACGCTCGGTCATTCCTTACCCGGGCTCTATTACCATTTTCGAATTGAACAATAAAATGATGTGACTCACACAGCAGCACCCCTAAAAGATCGGACTGAGTGAACTATTCACCCAGTCGCGCTTCAAAAATGTTGGTTGTCGAGGTAGTTTGCATGGGTTTTCCAAGCTACTAAATCTTCAGAAAACACGACTTATCTGTCTATTCAATGAGTGCGTTCTTCACTTTTGAAGGCAGTGGCTCGGCAAATCTCTTAGTAAAATTTTCGCTTACCTGGGGTTATTCAATACGCTGATCCCGAAAATGCACTTCTGAGAGCTTGAAAACGGCGAAAAAGAGCGTTTTTCATGCCCTTCTTTTTGAAATTGGACGAGTGGAGCAAGGCCGATGACGCTGAATCGTTGCAGAACCCAATAGTTATAGCACTGCGGCGGGCAGCCTCCAATGGTGAGAAGGAACTTGCCAACTCGTCCGGACGCGTGTAAGGTTAGTCTACGCGTGTAAGTTTGAGAGCAACTTCTCAGCAGGGAAGGCATGCTGTGCAACCGGGATTGCACTGCTTTCAAACTTGGGCGATAAGGAACCCACCGAATTGAAATCCTGAGTTGTTGAGTTTTGCCGAACCTGTAGCCTCCAGGCGCCCGGCCTAGGTTTTTTGTCACACTATTAGTCTTGAACCCAACCCATGGGATGTACGAAGCACCATATCTCATGTGTCGGTTCTGAGATGTCTAGTTCGTTCCTCGATAGTTCCTCAACAGTTTCTCGACAGTCACCTATTCACTGTTCTGTAATAGCTCTTCTGTACTACTCTTATTCTCTGTATTTGCATATTAGCTTCTTCTTGTGGTTTGTCATTTTGTGATAAACCATTTATATTTTACCAGTTATTCTGCTAAGTCAGTGGAACCTGCGGTCTAGACCGTCCTACCGCCACTTGGGGGCCGAACCGCTGACTTTGCAGCGACAACTGTGGAAGCGTCGAAGACCTTCCAGAAGAAGCTGAATTTTGGAGCGTCAACAACCTCCAAATCGATTTGAATTGATTGTGATGCGATTGTATCCCGCATAAGCCTATCGCGTCTTAGACCGATAGATTGGGGCACCAGTGGTCCCCATATTGATTGCGGCGGACGTATCCCCGCGTAACCTATCGATCTATTAGTCGATTAGCGTTGACGGTATAGAGCGCGCTTAAGACCGCTTATACGAATTGCAAGAACTACTGCGAGTGCGTAGCATCGCAGAACCATACTTCACGGAAGTTTGGTAGAGCTACTCGGTGCACTGCCGTATGCATTCGAGTTTTACGTCGCTCAGTTGTAGTGTTCGTTCGAGTCCTACAGCCGAACAGAGTTTGTTGTGTAAATATTTGAGTGGCGTGATGAAGGAAGAAGAGGAACATAGACCCCAGCCAAGTACAGATAACGAGGTGATTAGTGAACGGGAAGAAGAGCGAACCCCGTCGATGACAGAGATGTAGAAGTATATGATGGCTTAAACCTCGTAAACATAGAATGCGAAAATAATTGAGCACATTTTTTCGCACAGGTGACAAACGCAGAAAAGCGTTCTTGACAAAGCTAGAAAAGCAAATCGAAACCGCAGAACAGAGATTAAGAGTAATCCTCGAAAGTTCTGTACGCACAAGAGGTGACCTAGGAGGAACGCAGATTGACTCCGAGACATTGGAGATCTTTGCAAAGGCTGGGTTGATGTCACCAGAAAAGCTGGAGCGTTACCTTGATGAATACTTCACTTACTACAGGTTGATTGCAGTCTTGTGTATAGCGCTAATCTGCAGTGAGAAAGACTTAGGAAAAGGTCAAGGAAGTGTCAGGTGAGGTTCACTGCCTCAGGTTAAAGCTCAGAAACTTAAGCAGAGGTTGTGGCTGCCATGGAGCCAGCACGAACCCATCTGACAATAATGCAGATCGGGAAACAGACACTTCAGAAGGCAACTCTGATCATATAGTTCGACGCAAATACCAAAGATTTGCGAACCTAAATAAGGAAGGTAACATACTTTTATCGGATCGCCAAGTGCCGACAGTGCAGAATGCGCAAGATAGTGCACTGAAGACCTCCTCGCATAGGCACAGGTTAGAGTTGGACAGAAGCAATCGACAACAGTTGGACACGAATGTGCATAATGTCCGATTGCAAGATGCGTCACAAAATTCCAATTTCAAGTTTACCATGAGAGAATTCATGTTGGTGTCTACAAATTCCAATTTCAAGTTTACCATGAGAGAATTCATGTTGGCGTCTACAGTGCCAGACGTAAAACCTTTTCATGGTAAAGCAAATGAGAGTTTCAGCAACTTTTTGGAATCATTCCTGTTGAAGTACCCAAGGAAGCATTGGGATGATGAAATTCTCAAAAGTTTTCTGAAAAGGGAAGCCCTAAATCTATTTGAGACACTACCGCAAAGTGTAAAAGAAGGTTCCTTCGACGGCGTAGTCCAGACGATGAGTGAAAGGTTAGCTGAAGGAGGCAACACTTCTCGTGTAAAAGCCTTGGCTACACTGAGGAATCTGAGAATGAAAAGAAATCAGACAGTAAGTGATTTCTGCTATGTATTGGAGAGGACGTGCAGTCAAGCCTACCCTAATGACGAAAGAGGGGATGGGGTCTCACTCCAGAAAGCCCAGTTAGCTAATTGGGAAGGGAGCTATATCTTGGCTGAAGCGATTGAGACTAGCCCGCGAGATGTCGTTTATGACAAAGTAAAAGAAGCAGCGCTGAGGCTGGAGAGAAACCTGCATAGAAAGGAAGTCAAGCAGGGCAGCGATATGCATGGCAAAAAGCTTTATGGCAATCAAGCTTCACCGAGACAATGGTCTGATTCGGAGTCGGCCGTTGATCATGGTGAAAGTAGAGAAAGATTGACCGTAAAAGACAAGGAGAGAAGTAGTTGCTTCGAATGTGGCAAATCAGGGCATAAAGCACGACAGTGCATGCTGCAGAACGCCACAAAGGGCAACGCAGAAAGAACTGAACGATACAAGGCATCTTCGTTCTCCACTGCTCTTGATAGGTGGTTATGCGCTACCACAGGTGTCAGGAAGAGTGCTGAAGAATTTGTCGGTAAGAAGGTAGCCGTGCCGGCAAAAGTAATGTGGAAGTAAACGCACTTATAGACACTGGATCCGAGGTGTCCATAGCATCATTAAAGGTGTTCACGAGGGCCAAAGAAGCTCGAAGAAGCCAAAGAAAGGAGTCGATCTAGATACTTATGTGGAGAGAATCTCAGGAGCTGTATCTCATGCTGTGATACGCGACGCTTTTGGGAACAGAATAGAAATCTTGGACGCAATCAAGATGCCTTTGGAATTGTTTGGCAAATCCAAGAAGATTCCGGTATATGTCGCCAGATCGTTAGAAAATGAGCTGATCTTGGGGACAAATGTTCTGTGCAATTTTAGTGTCAAAGTGATTCGAAGTGATACCAATAGAGACTTGCTCAGGTATTCAGTCAGAGATCCCTCGAATGTAGTGAAAGATCGGAGTGATAGACTACTTGGAGGAAACAAGACGAAGCCAAAAGTAGGAAGGAGACTTTCAAAAGGCCTAGAAAGCAAAGAAGAAACAAAGCGCACAAAGGGCGGAAAGATGAGGCAAGATTCCAAGAATCAAAGCGGAATCTTGGACGAACCATTGACCAATATGAATCGACAAAAGCTGTGAAGATGACATGCTGAAAAAGAAGCAGCCAAAGAATAGATCAGCCGATGTCAAACGGGTAAGCGTGGAACAGCAAGATGAAGGTGATTCCAACGCATCAGGAAACAAGAATGTTGAGAAACTCAAGAGTGTCAATGCGAGGTATGGGAATTTGCAGATATACCGGATACCCTCGCGCATTTTGGGATTTTCTTGAAATGGTCGAATATGTCAGAGCACATCCCTGCCGAACTAGTCGCACAAGTGGAAAGACACAACAAAATCAAACAGAAAGGAGTGAACACTTATTGCGGTGTCAGAAATTTGGAAGAAGATCGCTTGGACAAGGATCGCATGGACAAGGATCGCATGGACAAGGATCGCATGGACAAGGATCGCAACAAGAATCGCTTGGACAAGGACCGTTTGGAGAACGACCACAAGGAGAAACAAGGAAGAAGAAATCAAGATTGTAACCGTGTTGTCATTTTTTTGGTATACGGTAGTATTGTGTTTCCTTTATATTGTTGTGTTGTTACTGTGTAATTAATGTTGAGTTTTTTTCCAATTCTGGGGGGCTAGGTTAGGTGTTGTTAAGTGTCGGGACGAATTTACGATAAGGGGGGACGTTAGCCTCCAGGCGCCCGGCCCAGGTTTTTTGTCACACTATTAGTCTTGAACCCAACCCATTGGATGTACGAAGCACCATATCTCGTGTGTCGGTTCTGAGATGTCTAGTTCGTTCCTCAAGTTCCTCAACAAACTTTCTCGACAGTCACCTATTCATTGTTCTGTATTAGCTCTTCCGTACTACTCTTATTTTCTGTATTTGCATATTAGCTTCTTCTTGTGGTTTGTCATTTTGTGATAAACCATTAACATTTTACCAGTTGTTCTGCTAAGTCAGTGGAACCTGCGGTCTAGACCTTCCTACCGCCACTAACCACTGCCTTTAAAGAAAGTTTGTTACAAACAAAATAGTGATTACTATGTGTTAAGCATTGTGATCAAGGAGGAAGGACGGTTCCAGTCACTCCATCTTTTTTGAAACTTGTCTTATTTATAAAAACTTGCTGTCATCAATCGCTTCCAAGTAAAGCGAAAAAATTTCTCCGCTTATAATTCTGTAAAACTATCGTATCTGGCAAAAAACTGTCTTCTGCAGGTATCCTAATTTCGAAGCCGTCTCACAAGAAAATCCGTTCCAATAGAACGTCTTCTGTGGGTCTTGTTCGATGTACGCAGATCAAATTGTACCATCGGCTCCCCGATTGCTGCGAGGGCGATCGCGATGGTCAACCGATAATCAGTTTATCAGCTATGTTGTAACACAGTCTAACCGCATCGCCGATACGCTCGCCCAGGTCTGCCCTCGCGGCAATTGGGGAGCCGATGGTACATGTTTACTGCTGCAACTTTCGTAACTTCGAGTAGTTTTGCTTTGTCGAGATTTTGCAATCCGTGTCGCGAAGATACCCTTTTTCTCCTATTTACATAATATTTCGCAAAGGGCGACACTGACGAGAGTACTCCTTTGGATGGAGAACACGACAATGTTATGATCACATTTTGACATTTCCAGCAGTAGCGACTGTTGCATTTATAGTCGTCCTCCCCCCACTAGACACTCAGTGGACGAATTTGAATTTGAGCAGGAGCAAACGACTAGCGTCGGAGCGCGGCAGACGCCGCCCCAGCCAAAGTGTGCGCATACGCTGTTTTTTCATTTTTCTTCATGTTTCTTTGTTGTTATTCTTAGATTCGAGATTTTGCTACCGGTGATCGTTGTTTCATGCTGTTAATATCGTTTGCCTTACATTTTTTCAGGTAATTCTTGATGGGATGTCGCTTATCGCCTTTTCCGGTGTACAGGAACATGCACAAGCGTTGCTTTTGTGAATTGTGAATCAAATTCTCAATTGGGTGTGCTCTTCATACTTTTTTCAGACCTGAATCTTTTCAAGAAGTGTTGGTGAGTTTTTTGGATGATGCATATTTGTTCTGTGTGGCAATATCCGTGCCATATGTATATCCTTAATTGCACGTAAGCGTAAGTTTGTTTGTTTAGCGCTTCCCTTCTCTGTGAGAAAGTGAATTTCTAGCCCCTAGTCTTTACTGCGTCGCATTTCGCGCTTTACCTGGAAAAAATATAAGGCAAACGATAATAACAGCATGAAACAACGATCACCGGTAGCAAAATCTCGAATCTAATATGACACATTGTCGCAATACGAGTAACAACAAAGAAACACGGAGAGAAATGGAAAAACAGCATATGCGCACACTTTGACCGGGGCGGCGTCTGCCGCGCTCTGACGCTAGCCGTTTGCTCCTGCTCAAATTCAAATTCGTCCACTGAGTGTCTAGTGGGGGGAGGACGACTAGGCTCCACGTCAGGACTCACGCCGCGCGCCGCGCGCTTCGCCGCGAACGTCGCGTCTAAATTTTGTACCCCACAAAACTGCGCGGTGCTACAGTGGTACGGCGCCAGTCTAGGGGGGTGGGGGGTGGGGGCAGATGCATGGCTCGTGTCATAAGTAAGACTGCTCCAGGAGTGCTGGCTTCTGTTTTGCTGACATCGCTTGCGGCATCGCTTCGCGAAAAATTCGCGCCGACCGTGACTCCTGACCGTTCCCCGGACGACTATACCACACTTATTCGTAAGTCAGTACATCACGAAATAATCCTGCTTTTTCCAGATAACTTCTTTAGAGATTAGATATTGTCGACTCCCCAACCTTGGCGAGGCGGAATCGTGATCTTCGCCAAAGATCGATGGATCAGGCATGCCTCAGCACAGGGCAACCGCAACGCAAGGCACGCTTGCGCAGCTCTGCCTCGCCAAAGTTGTGGAGCCGCTCATAGGTGCCAGACTTCGCGGACTAGCCGCTTCAGCGGAATGCGACGCAATTACTGTCATTTGGCGTCACGTTGGAGGAAAATCAAATGGGTGTCCGCGATTTCGCTATAACAAAAATTTTCCTCTAGCAAGACCTTTTCATCATTTCTAATAGTCTGCGAGGCCTTTTCGTCATCCCCTCAAATCCACTATTGGTAGACCATCGCAGACGCCACCACTAGAAGAACTTAAATACTGCGAAATGGCCGTTGTCATTGGAGCGCGTTTTCATCTCAGAACTTAGCGCTGTGCTCCATTTTCGTAACATGTGTTCTTTTCTTGCTTGAATCGTGGACCTTTCCTCTTTTAGATGTTCTGTACTGTCTCGGTTTTGCTCGTTATTTGTCATTCTGTGATTGTTTCATATTGTTCACCTTCCAGAGTGCAATTCTTGTGAAAAAATGTCCGGTGGAAGCGGTGTTCCTCTGTCGGATCGGCTAAACATGGAGAAAAACAAGCTGGACAAGAGCATCAGAGACTACCGGTATGTTAATTTGTCTTTTTGTCGAAAAAGTGGCAAGATATGACCAGTTCTTGGCGCTGTTGCTCAGTCTATCGGAGGTGTTGACCATGCTGGTCGAAACATTATGCTTTAAAAATGTCATTGGGTGTTTACGATGGTGTACGATGAGAGGCTCAATTAGGAGTTGGTGTTTTCGACTTTCTTTTACATCACCTGACCACCATTCTCACATGCTAGACTTGTCATCATAGCTTTTTGCAAAAAAATGTTGTTGGAAAATAGCAAGTTGAATGTATTCGAAACCGAATTTTGGCTTATCACTGCCGAAACTCGGTTTCAATTGAACCTCGATATTCCTGAATTTTTGTCCAAAACTTTGTCGTTGTTGTTGAGAGTTTTGTCCAAGTTTCTGACTTCATTGCTACGGTAAAGTTACGGTCACCACCAAGGATGACGTGTTGAGCAGAAAACGTAGGTATCCATGATAATGTCGAACAACCCTCCCAGACAAGAATTAGCCAAATCGTAGTTTTGAGCCATTAGCGTCCCCATCGGAACCACCGAATCTGATGACGCTGTGCAAAAAGAGTGCGATATACGTGGTCAGCAGGTTGATGATCCCCTGGACCGAGTTTGGGCGAAATATACTCTTTGGAGTTTTTGAGACCCTGAGGGAACAGCGCCCATTTTGTATTTGTATTCCCTTCATCTTCAAAACTTTGTGTTTTTCTAGCTCAAAAGATTATTAAAGCATCTTTCGTTCAGCGCTTTTTCTTTTTAGTTTACTCAACGAGTGAATCCAGCATATTGCCGCAGTTTTCGATGGTAACAACAAATGCTGCTGGACGCACCGCAATGTTGGTGTCTCTGTTACAAAGTTATTCTAGTTCTCTCAGCTCAATCCTTTAGGCATAAAATGAACGGAGGCGGTCATGCTGAAACGAATGAAGGCGAATTGAGCCGGATCTGGCTTACTTTCCATGCATTGAAAAGGATTGCAAGTACATAGGGATAAACGCCGCACCACTTCACAAGCGCTGTAAAAGATGCGACCCAGGATTGTTGGTTTTTTCACTTTATATCAAACGTTTGGTCATCATCTCTTCAAGGCGCCACACTGCCATGATCTATTAGGCTGAGTTGCTCTTTTTTCTTGGTCGAACGTACTCATCATGTTTATGGACATTGACTTGCTATGCTACGAGGTGTTCTAGATCACGAGTTTTTTTCATGCCATTCATATTCTAGGACATATTGAATTTTTGTCTAGTTTCAGTTGTTGTCCGTTCGTTTTCGAATTGAATAGTAGAAATTAAGGAGTAAACATTTCTTCGATCATCCTTTTATTATTCGTACACAGACATATGATATAAGGTGAATGGTACCATCACTAGACGAGGAATTTAGGAGACATGACTCTGAAAGAAGGGGGCACTGTTCTACTTTATACAGTTTTACTTTATACAACCCAGAAATCCATTATCTCAAAAATTCGGTGAAACTTCACAAGAGGGTAGGGAACTATCTGACGAATTGAACACGAATATCATGTCAACTTCGCGCGGTACGGTTTTTTTTTCAAATCTAACACCCCTAAAATAACACATTTGTGCGTTGCACTTATGTATGCGCTTTCTGATTGAGCAAATCACTCCTTCAATGCGTGTCGATGTCAAAGTCGAGGACAGCATGTTGGAGTACCTCCCCTCCTCCCTAACAAAATCTACCATATATCTCAGCAACCTTTCCAGAAAAGCCCTCTTTTGCGAATAATTATCCTTTTCGTTCAGCAAGTCGACTATGCTAGCCTTCTACAGCCCGTCGTATTCGAAATGTAAGCGAAACTCCCCATCGTATTCAAAATGTGAACGAAACTCAAGTCCCAAGTCGAAAACGCGCTCCAGTGATAACGGTCATTTCGCAGTATTTAAGTTCTTCTGACGCCACTTCGATTTTTGTCCAACGCGACGCCAAATGACATTGACTTATGTGCCGCATCCTGCTCAAGCAGCTAATCGGTTGATCTGGCGCCCACGGGTAGAGGTACGAACGCCTCAATTAGGCGCCGCTTCTGCGGGCTGCTGGTCCTTTCGTCTTACTGTTGTACATCGTGTTGGGACCAGTAGTCCGCGGAGGCGGTGCCAAATTGAGGCGTTCGTTCCTCCACCCGGCGCCCACCTTAGCATAAAGTTCTTTGAAAGCATGCAGGGATGTTTATAATTTTTGATGTGTTACTGCAACAACTCATGCTTTGTGGAAATTGAACAGTGATGTCAGAAATGGACTCAGCAAGCTCATCTAAGCCTTCGATTTATCCTGTACACCTATCTCTTATCTACAAAGCATTTCTTTGAGCAATACCATCAAATAAACCTTTATTGTACAATAATACTGCGACAATTATATGGGAAATTAAAGGTATACGGAAGACATTTACACTAAGCATGAACACTAAACGAATCACTATCATGAATCAAGATGCTCGTCAACATGACAAAATTAATGCAGATTACCGGGAAGTCAAAGTTAGGTACAAAAAGCTACTCATACCACGATTATTACATAATTGCAATTCCCCTCCCTTCCCTCCCTATCTTTTCTCCTTACCTGCTTGATAAACATAACAATCTGTGTTTAACTGACTTGCACTATCACACAGAGAATGAAGTTTTTAAAACTTATCAAGGTACAAATGAAATTCAAAGATAATTCGAGGTAAGCGTTTTCAAATCAAAGAAATTGAGGCAGGATCCAGAAGATTTGGTGAGTCGGTTCGAGGTACTGGTGAGTCCATTTCAGACACTGAATTACTCTCTCATTCAAAGAATGTCATAGTGAAAATGAAGGGCTCACCAGGTTTGACTGGTAGACGTGGCTCCTTGAATGATCCTGACAACAGTTGGCGTTCCTCTGGTCTGGTTGTCTTTTCGATGCCGGCTCTGAATAGTCATAGCTGCTTATAAGAAAGTGCATCGCATGAACGTACTTTTTCAGCAGACTCTGGAAATTTGAGCGAACGCTGTCTAGTGACGATATAGGTAGTGGTGATGGCGAAGTTTCTCTAGGAATCGGTGATTGTAGAGGAGTGCCAGACCTGGTTTGAATGTAAACAGTAACGGCGATACAAAAACCACACATCGCTAGAACATTGAATAGAAAAAGTATAAGATATACAACAAACTCACAACTTCTTCTTCCGAACAGCTCCCTCATCCTTGGGTTTCTTGCTTGCTTGAGCGGCTTTTTCACTATAACAAATTTTATATGTTTCCAATCTAACGATGTCAACGGATGGAGAAACAAATAGATAGATAAAATATGTAATACAGTATGAAGTAAACCAAAATATGAGCAAGTTTCTCACTCAAGCTTCAACTGCGTCAAGTCGACTTTGAATATATCATTCAGCGGCATGGGCACAAGACGAGAACGTTCGCGTTTCGTCCACTCCATTCCCAAAAAGTCGCAGATTTGCTCCTGAATATGAGAAAGAAGGTACATTTGCTCACCACATATCTGTTTCAAGAGACGACGTTTTACATAGACTAGACATAGAAAAACTAGAAACTCGATTAAGAGTGACTTCTTACCACTATACACCTATTGACAACTTTCTGGGTGATACGAAGACGTGATAACGTAGAGCAAGAAACAAGCAAGTTGTTATTGGCATGGCCGATGACAACAAGTCCAGATGGCACTGGAGATTCAGATAAAATGATTCATCATAATCAAAACAGAAACTGGAACATCGGCAACAGAAAGCAATACTCACTTATCATACTCGAGCGCATCATTTTCATTGCAGCCGGGTGATAGTCGCAAGCCTGCGCTCCAACCACGAAAAGGGATGGACAGTAAGTAAGCAAAATGTCGTCATCGGGTTCCTAAAAAACATTTTTTGGTGACAGAGGGCGATACTCACCAAATCGAGAGGAACTAAGGGAACAGGATGGAAGGACAACATTAACTTACTCCTCGTGGGCCATCAAGCGAAAGCACGGGGAATGCAAGATCGATGATTGCTGAAACGCCGGGAACAGCGCTCAGCACCTAAATTAATTTTCAGATTTCCGCGGATCAAACCAATAATCGATGCTCACCATGTGGTTAAAACAACATGTTGTGCTCCATCCTACAAGCACTATTCGCTTCTGCCTGTGTTCCCTGACCATCTTTGTCACCTAAACCAGATTTAATTATAATAGCACTGGTCCACTTAGAAAAAACTTCGCCTTACCAAACGAGAGATCATATTGACGGCTGTTAGTACCATCTCGCCAACAGCAGTTGAGTAATTCTCATCGATTTTGATTTTGAGAATGGTAGAAGAAGGATGACCAATTTCGCGCAGCCATCTAAAATAGAATCGCTTGAAAATCAGCAATTAAGAAAAGAAGGAACAACCGTTATCGAAAGAAAGCAATCCTTACTTGAATACGGAGTCATAGAAACGATCTCTAACGGAGAAATCTCCAACAGTAACATTCGGAGCAACCAATACAAAAACCACGTCAGAGAGCGAAGCGGGCTGCAAGCAGTGGTGGTAATTTGGACCGTCAACAATTTTCTCAGACAATTTACGAATATTTATTGTTACATAGGGTTAGTCTCCAACGAGTACATAATATACAGTGCTTGAGAGAATGAACTGCAAAAGCAGATCACTTCATGAGAAGAGCATATTTCTAACAAATAATATGATTGGTGAAAGAGATCTTATGTGAATAATACTAAAGGAGTTATGAACAATATAGCTATAAACAAAGAAGCTCTGAGCTACCCACAGCGATTGTTCGCTCCAAATCGGCAGCATCTGGTTCCACTACGTTCTCTTCCACATATTTTCCTATGATTTTTGTAACCTCTGGCCATGGACTAGACTCATTTTGTGTGCTGCGTACGATTGACTTTACTTGACAGTTCTAAAAGCATGTGTCTTTTAAGATAAAAGTGGACTAAAAGACGATGTCTGACATACCAGCAGCCTTGTGTGGCGCAGAAGGAAAAGATATGAAGCTAGAAGCTCAACAGGCAACATCTCAATCAGATATCGGTGCATCCAGAAAACAGCTTCTTCTCGCTCCTGGATATAAGTTTTGAATATAAACAACAAAATCGCATCCACTACAAGCACTATCAATTTCTACTGCTACATTCCACCACATCAAAATCACCTCATATGCATTTTCCTCAAACAGAAACTGATAAAACAGTATGCAAGAAACGACAACAAGTCCAAACTCACCCTACTGAACATGCAAATGACATCGCGCATCTTACTCGCTTGGTGTGTGACTGTATTGTAAACGACAATGGCTGCTTCGCGTCCACAGGCAGAGAGACGAGCCACATGCAAAGCAGATATGCAGTCTATGGCCATACTCAATAAAGTTCGTCGGAGTTCTGGCTGTTCAAGAGCTCTGAAGAAAATCAGCAAATAGTCGGCATATCAAAAACTGTTCTTGCAGAACTCGAAGTTGAACAAATAATATAATATAATAAAATAAGAAGCATGATTTCAGTCTCACTTTTCATATAAGTACGAAATCCCATCTTCTTCAGCATAGAGACTAGGTCTGAGAAGAAGTTGCTCGACCTGAGTCGCTACTGGTTCGGCACTTTCATCCAAAACGGGTGGAGCAACATAATCATCGAATTTGGGAATGTGAACAGCTTCAATAGTCGTCACATCCAGACTGTCTTCTACATCCATGTCGAAATCATTCCACCTGTCAAGATAGCAATTATTTTCTTTCAAAAAACGTGATACAAAAACTAACGTGTCCTCTACAGCTTCTGCGGGAGAGTTGTATTCACATAAGAGTTCTCGATAAAAGTGATCGGCAACAGGGGCCCTATCGCTAATGCGCTGAGGTTGAAGAAGTGGTTGAGCAACAAGAACTGATGTTTTCGATGAGAGGAAGGTATTGAATGAAATCTAAACATAAAAGATGGTCAAAAAGGGAATAAGAGCTAATTTCTACAACAAACCGGCATGGTCAGTCGTTTCTGTCTCTCGCGTTCTTCTGCTTCCAAACGAAGGCGCTCTTCTTTCTGAGGATCAAACGGAGAGGGCTCCCTTGGTCGCGGAATCTTCGCAGGAACTGGAACAAAGTGTTTCGGGGACATGATAGGGAATTTTCAATCATACCAGCTTTACTAGGAGCAGATCCTCGTCGGGCCATTACTGGCCTTTCTGCTTCATCATAAGTTGATTCAGCCAGCTGGCTCATCACCCTACGTGAACGTGCTTTTCTCAGCTCCTCCTTCTAAAAAAGCAAATTAATAAATTTCTCATAGAGTTGAGCACTCAGATTTTGACTAAATGGCTCTTCTGAAAAATGAGAAGGATCAAGAAAAGTGTATGCGAAGGCAGGAATTGAAAAATATACAGTTTTGGCACCAACTAAACAAAGTGTTTTGTTCAAAAATGAGCTCAACGTGAATGACAACACAAGGCGCGAATTTGAAAATTGCAAAATACCGTCTAGCTTTGCTTGAAGGGGAAAACTCGAGTGATTGAATTTAGACGAGGAGCAAAAGCGAAACTCGCAAAAATGAGACCTTTTTCTTTTCTGCCTTTGTACCACGCTTTAGCGATGGGTATAGGAAATCTTTTTGGAGAAGGCCACCACGATGGCGTGGACCTAGCTCATGCCTTGGAGATTCGGCTCTGAAGAACATCACTTCATGTCTTCTAAATGATTTATATGACGATACTTTAGAAGATAGATAGATGAATCAGCACTACTTACCTTGGTTCAATATGATGCGAGGCTTTCTGTTGTCTCATGACCCAGCCCTGCGCTTCACGTTCTTCTTTTTCTTTCTTCAAACGAGCAACACGTTCACGAGCCTTTTCGATATTTCTGCAATGTAAATTCGCAAATTATTTGACCTCAGTCCTCCTGCAGACTATTTACCTTCTCCTTTTCTCGCGTTTGTTGACAATCGCTGAATGTCTGGTTATCCCGTCTTTGCACACTTCGAGCAGGAGCCGATCCATGACGGCATTGACGGAAACTCCTAACTTTTCCACCGTACCTACAAGACCTTTTACTTGATAAAATCATTCTCAATGCACTACTCACCATCGCTGTAGTAGACGTTTCCAAGCACAGGTTTCACTGACGGTACATAATGGGACCACGGAGAGATGTACCTCTTTGCGGGTTTCTTCACGATCGCCACTGGAGCTGGAGCAGGTGGCTGAAAATCTTGTATATAAACTGAATGTCTGTTTGTCTGTCTGTCTGTCTGTCTGTATGTAAGTATGTTGAAATTTTTATTTCTGAACCGATCCTGACCAAACTTGGCACACATACACTTCGGGGCGGGGCGGGTGTCGTAGGCTACTTTTCGTCATCGGTTGATATCGATTTTATCGATTTTTATCGATTTTTTCGAGTTCACCTACGGGGCTGGGAGTTGGCACAGGAGGGGGGGGGGTAATCGAGTATGCTGATTACGAATACAATATTAGTTTCTATAATTATCCATTACTTTTATCGATTTTATCGATTTTCAAAGTTTGAGCTACGGGGCCGGGAGGTGGCATTGGCAGGGGGTAATCGAGCATGCTGATTACGAACACAGTACTAGTTTTTTAAATCATCTACTAATTCTATCGATTATATCAATTTTCTAGCAAAGTTTGAGCTATGGGGCTGGGAGTTGGCACAAGAGGTAGGCATGCTGATTAGGAAAACAAAACGGAGATAGGGAACTGGCATGTAGAAGTGGGTACAGGGAAAGCTTGTACAAGATAGGGATAGTGAGACTTATCATAGTGTGTTGAAAGGGCCGGGCGGAGCCGGGTATGCCAGCTAGTTCAAAATAAAATGCTTTCCAGCACATTTCTGGTTTGAGTAAGAAGCAAAAAATCAGCTCCGGAACTTGCATTGTTGAACATAGTTCGAGTATGAGCTCAAAATAGGGTCACGTCAAAGTAAGGATGTGTTTGAAAAAAAAGAAAAGCAGGCCAACCTTTTGTTATTAACGCGATTTTAACAAATCCGGAAAACTCTACATGACGAGCTGCTTGAAATTCAATCTCTTATCAAAAAACGCAAATCACTTTAGATCTACGTTAAATTCTTGCTCTTCCAAAGGAGAGATTATTTGAAAACGCTCTTAGGTTTTTTGAGCACATATTTACAAACAGATTCTCTACAGCAAGAGATCAACAAATCAATTACATCACTGACTTTCAAAACCAACCTTGCTCGTCTCTGGCTCATCTGCTTTAACATCGCTTCCTGTGTTGACAGCGATAACTCTAGGGAAACAACCAAGTCTGAGCTTGATCTTAATCGGTCGCGTTTTCTTCAGTGATCGCCTAGAGTGTATTATATGATAAGAGTAATTCTGAAAGGTATTACAACGATACCTTCTCGTTTCCATAGTATGGACAGGGGTCACAACTGGTGTTGGTTTCAAAGTCTTTTCTGAAGAGGTTGTGGGAGCAGGTTCTTCGGGGGGATGAGTTGCAGCAATAGGACTGGTATATTCAGGCTTTTCTACAGGCGACATTACAGGCTCTTCCAACGAAATAGTCACAGCAGCTTTTGAATCTTTCCTTTTGGCTGTAGGCTAAATAAATTACGATTTGACAGAGACGGGAGGAAAATTCAACGCGACCGACCTCGACTTTGGGCCCCGTCGAGCTGCTGGACTTTCTTCGTCGTATTGGCGAAACAAAGTCTGGATTGACGAACCGAGAAGACGGGCGAACAACGCGAGAAGATCGACCAGCTAAAGACAATTCATTTGAACAGGAAAGCGAAAATCGGATAAAAACATACTTGTCACCGTCGTGGCTTCTTCAGTGTGGGAAACCTGTAAACCATTGCATTTTATTCACGAAAAAAGCCGACGAGACAATGTTATGTTCGAGGCTGTCAAAAACCACCTTGGGACTAGGCTGTACAGGAGATATTGTTTTTTCTTTAGGTTCAGCAGCTTGTGTCTCGGGTACCAATGGGACCGAAGCAACCGTAATGACGGTAGTGGTACTCGCAAGTTCTTCGGGTTTCTTCTCGGTTACTTCAGGTTTCGAATCCGCGAGTGGTATGACATCAACACTTCCTTTAGCGTCTCGGGATGAAGAAGCATTTCCTAGATAATTTTAGGCTCGATAACAAGATCGCTGTTGAATACAACATTACCTTTTTCAGTGGATAATTCAACAGCGTCCGCACTTTGAACATCCTTTTCGACAGGTTTTTCCGCTTCAGGAGCACTCTCAGCAGTCAGTGGAGCCGTAGTTTTGATCTCTTTTGTTGGTTCAGAAGGATGAGGAAGAACGGTAGGCATCGGTTGAGGTGATGGAGATCGTATAGGACGTGTAAACCTGTAAAAGATAACGAGTTGAGCAAAAAAGGCAATAACAGGCCTATATACTGAAATCAAAAGAGAAGTCGAGTAGTAAGAAGCTCACAATACCTTGAAACTCTTTGCAAGATACCCAGAGCAGAATTTGGATCGACGGGTTTGGAGATGGTTGGGGTTGCTAGGCCAGTCTTCAGCACGATATCCGAATCGAGCATCTTCTTTGTCAGCGTGTGGCTACGTGAAGACCTGAAAGACCTTATTACTGAAGTATCGTATGCATCCGAAAAAGCCGCGAACCTTCGGACGCTTAGTAGGCTAGGAGACTTCGATGTTACTGATGCGCTCTCTACAACTGATGAAGAAATCCGCACTTTTCCAGCTCCAGCAGCCTTCACAGTTACAGATGAATGTTTCCTGGTAACTCTAGAAGGGAAGGTGTTGATGATTACTCAAAACAAAAGGTATTTTGAGCCATAAAATGTACACTTGAGGAAACAAAAAACAGTGATAACATACTTGACTTCGGTGGATGATCTCGAAGTCGATGGGTCACTGGGCTCTTTAATGCTGTCATTACTCTCGGGGGTCACACTCAAACTAGAACAAAAAGAAATGCCATTCGTGCTTGTTAACACATTGACGACAGCGTGACCCACATGGTGGGTCATGCAAGTGACCCACATGGTGGGTCATGCAATGACTGCCACGTGGGACAATGTGACCCACATGGTGGGTCACAGCTAAAATTTTGTTGAAATGACTGCTACCTTGGACTACAATCGTTTCAAAAGTTCTCTTACGCTCGATCCTAGAAAATACTTTTGCGTTTCTCATCCGCTTCATAAGATTACAGTAGGTATACTGTAGCTGACGATCTGCATGATTTTAGCTCAAAATTTTTGACTTATCCGTGACAGGCATTGTCCCACGAGGCAGACAACTAAAAACGCGCGCTGTCGTCAACGTGTTAATAGGAGCCTTCCAAACAATAAAATCGTCCAACTAATGGAATTCTTAATCCACACCTCGGTTTTTCATCGATACTCTCTTTTCTACCATCAGTACTAGTTCGTATTCGTGCAGGTAGTCGAGCAGACTTTGCCGTGTCAATTGTAGAATGGTCTTCTTTCCCGACTAATGCTGTATGCTGCGGTACTGGCCGGATGGGTGATGCTCCTCGGCTATCTGATGAAGGGACGTACTCGGACGTTGTGGAACTAGTTGATGGAGTCTCCTAAAATCGACTATATAGCAAGCATCATTTGAAACCTACAAGCTTACGATAAGTGACACCCGCTTAGTAGCAGATCTTTTACCCAATACTTTCCGTCTCTCCAAAACCTTAACACATGCGAAAAATGCGGATGCGAAAAATGGGTCAAATGAAGTCAAGAATTACCTCTGCCATCAAGTCAGCAGTTTCTTCAGTAGAAATGCGCTTCGGGCGTTTAGCAGAAGGAATCGCACGGGAAACATCCGTAGATTTTGACGGTTCTGTTGACGGACATATTAGCATAATCTTGGACATTCGAAATTGAAATGTACCGCTTTCAAGAACAGAAGGATCAGACAAGCGTCTTCGTTTGCCTTTCGCGCGGGTATTTCCTTTGGGTTGACTAACAGCAGCAGATGTACTTTCAATCGGAGCCTAGATCACAATGCTAGTAAGTTTCAGCAAAATTAGCAGGACCAAAACTGACTAACCTTCTCCACTGATGCATCCTTAGATGTGCTTTCACTAGGAACTCCCGCATCTATCATGGGTATTTCGACCGGAACGGCAATAGGTACTATAGTATGACGTCTTCCCTAAACGAAAAACCTTTGCGTACACGTGACGTTACTAACAAGTTGTAAATTCACATGCTAACCTTCTTAGGCTCAGTAGTGGGCTTCGAAGCAGCCGCTGGTCGTTCTGACAAAAAGAATGAAGATGTAAGGAGAGAAGTATCAGATGCGTCTGCATTCTCTACGCGTTTTGATGGTCGTCTTCGACGCTGTAATTAGCGTTGTTCAAGAGCTTGTAGCAAGGTAGTAAACATTACAGGTAAAAGCTTCTGTGAAACGTTTCTCACTTTGCAGAAGAAAAGTAAAACTGCGAAAAAGGTGTCAAAGCAATAACGGAGTTGGCGAAAAAGGTGTCAAAGCAATAACAGAGTTGACATGGAAAAAAACTGGAAGAGATGGAGGAGATAAGTACAAAAAGGGAAGGCTATCCTATCATGACAAAAAAAAATAAAGAGAAGAATGAATGGATATACAAAGAACATATTTATCGCCAAGTTTCGGAAAAACCAGCTGCGTCCTTCAAACTTTGGTCACAATCTTTGAGCGAGTCCTTACCTTCTCGGGCACCAACGGTGCGCTGATGGCATCTTCAGCGGAGCTTACGGATGCAGTAGAAGACTTTTCAGACATATCCATCCTAATTGGAATATCTATGGTTTTTCTTCTGGGAAGCTGAAACAGCACAATAGAGCATTACTGCAGATGTTTCGTAAGCTATCTCTAGCTCACTTTGATTACCGGAGCTGACGATTTGGGCTTCCTTCGAGGTTTTGCGACGATCGCAGGAGTTGATGTCACCACGGGTGCAGGTGTAAAAGGAGCAGCTCCGATGTCAGCCATTCTCACGACGGGCTGCACTACTTCTTTGTCTTCTTCATCTGCAATAGGAAACTATCGACAGCAGTCAAGCCTAACAGCAACTACATACCGTCCGATGATTGCACACTCAGTACTTCTTCTTTTACGACTGGTTCCTTGCGCGCTTTGGCAGACAGTCGAGAAGCGGTGGCCGTCTGAAGGTGGATTATACAAGAAGAAAATAGCAGTGCCATGAAACAACAAAACAGATAATATAAGATGAAAGTCAGAGAAAAAATCAGACCTTAGCCTTGGTGGCAGTAACTAGTGGAGGCTGGAAACTGGGTGGAGATTGGAGGATGGATGGAGGGTCTACGACCGGTAATTCCTGCGGAACAACGGCAGCCTCACGTATCCTTTTCTCAATTCCACGAGGTAGTTGAAAATCAATGGGTTCAAAACGCAAGTTTCCAAGCAAAATTATGGAGATGGAGTCGTAATCCGTTGGTAGTTTCGTCAAAGCAAATTCCTGAAGTATGGTTGTGTTTGTCAAAAAATACTTTGGGCAGAAAAGTTTGATTCATAAGAATTGCGGTGAAAAGCAAGCATTGACAAACAGAAAAGAAGACGTGACGCAATTTGGACTGCCAACAACGCAATGTCACAGAAATGCGTTTTTGTGCACGAGCTCAGCCTTCAATGAACAGTCATGGTGATTTCAGACTTTCGAAACGGCAGCTCAAGTTGCAGTCAAAAAATAAATAAATAAATAAAACTCGTTACACTTCACTATCCGATGATCTAAGTGGAATACGAAATAAAAACACAGATTCGAAAAAGCCTATAATATACCAATTTCTTCTTTCCCTGCTTCTCTTTGTCATGTATCCTTCCTTGCTTTTCCTTTTCTTGAAGCTTGGCAACAAGGTTTTTCAATTTCGCACCGGGACGAGTGTCCGGTGATGGAGAATATCTCAAATTACCAGATTAAAGAAAATTCTTCTTCATTCCGCACTCACCTTCTAGATACCAAGTGACGTGTACGGGTAGAAGATGTAGGTTTCGCAAACATAGGTGAATCACTTTCCACAGACATTTGACGCGATTTGCGACGACGTTTCTGCGAAGACCTGAAAATATTTAATGGTAGAACAAAAAACATGTCGAATCTGAGCTAAAGAATGAATTGCTTCAACTCACTGGTCAGAATCGGCTTCAGAAGGTTCCACAGACTGTTTACCTGAAGAGGGATTCGAGTTGATTGAGGAACGGCGTGTTACACTCTGTTTTCGCCCTCAAATTATCACAGTCATTTGGCTAAGAGAGGAGAAATTTTATATCTCTATCTGCCGTACAACAGAATGGGTCCGCAAAACTGAAACCTACCGGTTACTGTTGGAGTCAAATCCTGCGCACTAACACTTGTTTCAGGTAACATGTTTGAAGCCCTGTAAACTCCGACATTCTGACAATACTGGAAAGCTTTCGTAAACAAATCACTGACCTTTCGGTAGCGGAAAGTTTCCGAACAACGGAAGATCTCCCCAATGACTTAGACGAATCAAGTTCAACCTCCAAGTCCATTTCTGTAAACAAGCAGATGAAAAGGTTGATGAAAAGGAGAGGATTTGAACACGAAAAGGTGAGTGACATTCCAACATATGCTTAGCTTACAAAGAGGTATTTCAAGCTATGAACATATGAGCTGGGAAAACTACAAGATAACGACTGGCTTATTTCGAAGTGCGTAGACAAGACAAAGTCCAGGAGGAGCTATATAGATTCTCCATGGCCCTTCGACAGTTTTTTCAACCTCTTCAACGGGCCAACAAGCCTTGAGAAAACTAATTTTGATAGATGCAAATCCCATAAGGACTTCTACTCATCTTCAACTAGTTGTTTTGAGAAGTTCCTTCATTATAGTTTGCAAAGATAATGCAGCTTCATACCTTGCAATCTATACATGCAAATCTTTGTTTACGGACATACTAACCATCTTGTGCAAGATAATATATAGCGGCATGATTTTCACGAAGCTTCAATATCATAGATAACGGAGCATGGAATGAGTTTGCGAGACGGTCAGTTGGGCACCTTCGAGTGCAATATAGGGGTACCAAGGAAGCTGCACTACCGGTATAGTTCTTAGCCCCGAAACCGGATAGTGTAAAATTAGAAACAAAACATTGTAGTGAACTTCTTGGTTGTCTTTATTGATTCAACGCTAAACTTTCACATTTTTCCATATAGGTCATACTATGTTACTTAAATGGTTCAGGTTTGATGATTGATCCCAAACAGTCGCTCAAAAGTGCCCAAATGAGCTAAAAAGCGGACGAATTTCTCTAACCTCTCTTCGAAGCATGAATTTGCGAAAGCCTGGACAAGTCCCAATCTGGGTAAAATAAATGCGATGACATAAGATTTGCACGCTTTTGTGCAGAAGATTAGAAAAAAATGCCAAGGCGTCTCACTTAAACAAGCATGCTTCTATCTTCCAAACTTTGGGCGAAGTCTGTCAAGGCGAATTTATGGCTCCTACACTTTCCAGGTTCTAGCACAAAAGAGTCGTGTGATATGGCATAAGATTGCATTATCTAACGGAGCTGGAAGAAGCTTTCGTAAACTGGTTGCATGAAGTTTATATGCGAGAATTTACTGCTCAAAAAGAAAGAAAAGCTGTACCAAAAACATTTTAGGGTGCAACAAACGAGAAAACTCTCAGCGACTGAATGAAATTGCCAAGTGCATAGAAAGGAGTGTCCAAAACGCACGAAAAATGAGAATGAGCATTTGGAACGTTAACAACCTCGTTGATAAAAGATTGTATTGTTGTAAATTCTCTGGTCATACTACGACAGAGATTATCGAGGTAAATCACAACCAACAATTACGACTCAAGTACAAATGCACAATGTAAGAGCAAAATAGTGACGCACAGGGCGGGAAAGATCGATAAACCAACGATAAGAAACCGAATATACATGTGTGTATAAAATTTGCTCCTTTTTGCATACTTTTTGTTCTCAATAACATGATGACAACTGAACTATGAGTTTACGTGAGTGGATTTTCCGACATAATATCTACAAGTCTATGAAAGGATAAAGACAGGAATTTCGGAAAATGACTCAAAAACCTGGAACATAAGCAGTGATGCCAGTTTCAGCACAAACGTCAGCAGAATTCTGCTGCATCAAAACAGTCACTCAAAACTAAAAAAAATGCACAAGCAGGTAAGGACAGCTTAATCACAAACTATTTCAAACTCAAAACCTAAAGGTAAAATCGAGAGCGAAAGGTAATGGTGAACGATGAAGTTAAGAAAAATGAAAGCCGCATCGAGTATAATAAGAAAAAATGGAAGCCGCATTGAGTACAATCGCTCGAATAACTAGTTACATAAACGTGTTTCGAAAACACCACAGCAAAGTAGACGATCCACGTACACAAAAACCCACAACTGGAAAAAAGGGTACGCAACATAAGAATCCTTCTGGCGAGAAACACAGAAAGCACCAACGCTCCTTGGACACAAAAATCAATTTCGAAGATTGCCGCACGCCAACGCTTTCAAACGACGTCGTCGAGATAACGCGCTCCAACAGCAGTCCGCATTTTGCACTTCGTCATCTATCACAAATGCACGGCAAATATTGTGAGATAGTACGCCAAAAGCGTAGTGCACAGAGAAACACATATTGCGTTCTTGGCGCAGGATGAGCTGGAATTTTGCCAATTTGGCAAAGCTTCAAACAAAATCTAGGTGGAGCTTTCGCTGTATGGAATGGAGCAAGTGTTGTTAACTTCGAAACTGGTTGTATGGCGATTTTGTATGGGTTCCGTTGTAATAAAAATAAACCGAATTGGAGCGCTGAATCTTGTTGGTTTGTGAGGCATTAAGCACAGATTTTACTCGCTTCTGTTCTCGTCCTCTCCTTCTGTACTTCTTCGTCGTATATTTAGCATGCCATTTTTCTTTTCGATCTTTGAACCCTTCTGCTTATAGCCTCTGTCTCAGGTAAAACCCATCTTAAGATGGCTCCTCCAGGAGCTTTCGAGAGCCAGAAGAACAAGGAGCATCGAAGTTAGTTTGTGCTTCATATTATAGACAGGTTTCCCTCAGGCCTTGGACATGGTTCACGCGCTTTCATCGCCTCGCGATTCTCTCGACAAGTCAACAGTTAGGCTTTGGCCATACTTTATCCGTGTTATCGGTGTTACCAGTGTTACTCGTGCTACTCGTTACTAGTAGTGTTACCGCTTTTATTGCCGTTGAATAGTGAAATGATCACAATAGGGAACGGCCATAGGTTGTCGGTGTTGTCGATGTTGTCGGTGTTGTCGGTGTTGTCGATGTTGTCGTTGTTGTCGGTGTTGTCGGTGTTGTCGGGTTGCCGAGGTTGCCGGTCGTTGTAGGACCTCATGGTAGCCTCCACTTTTCGCGCGCTCTCTAAACTGTCTCTGACCCCGACAACACCGACAACACCGACAACACCGACAACTCCGACAACACCGACAACATCGACAACATCGACAACACCGACAACACCGACAACACCGACAACTCCGACAACACCGACAACATCGACAACATCGACAACATCGACAACACCGACAACATCGACAACCTATGGCCGTTCCCATATAGTCTCATTTTGATACGCAGTAACACTCTGGTGAGTAACACGGGTAACACTTGTAACACGGGTAATACGAGTAACACGAGTAAGACTAGTAGCCCGGTAACAAGCACGGGCAAAGTATAGCCAAAGGCTTACGAGTCCATTGCAGTGATGTTAGTACGATTGGTCATGTCAAAAAACTACCACAACCGAAATGCAGGAAGATCGGTATCGTCGATCATGTAACGGTTGCCTTGTTGGGAAATCGCGAGGCGAAGAAATCGCCTGAACTGTACCCGAGGCCTTACCTGTTTTCTGAATGCACTTCATAACACAAGTCTATTCGATGCTTAACAGCGTGTTATTGCAGCCCATAAAACTGGAGGAAAAGCAACGAAGATCAAAGAAAAGAATAAAGTGAAGGGTAACAATGCCAAAGCATTCACCTTCAAATCTGCCGTTGCCGCAGGGAAAGCGATCAGGAGGTGAGGGGAATGGTATTTATTATTTGAAGCGTTTCTCTTCTCAAATATTCATCTATACACTCATATTTGATCTTTGTCTAATTTCTTTGATCTGCTTTTTACTTACGAATGTGAGATGAAATTAGGGCAGCGGACATAAATGAGAAGAAGAAGCATATCTTGTATATGGACCGGAAGCCGGTCGTTCCACCTCCAATTATTGTTGCTATCGTCGGGCCTAGTAAGGTACGGTGATCTTTATTTCGATGTATGCCTCGTGAATCTATGTATTTTTAGGTCGGCAAAACAACACTACTACGTGGTCTTGTGAAGTACTATCTTAAAAGTGGTTTTGAAGAGTTGAAAGGTTTGCCATTTACTGTAAAAAGTCCGCATGTCTAGAAAAGTTATCAATTTCAGGGCCCGTCACCATTGTTACTGGAAAGAAGCGAAGAGTGCAGTTCATAGAAGTCAAGAATGATATCAACCATATGATAGATGTGGCAAAGATTGCTGATTTGGTGAGATTCGTAGAGCCTCCTGAAATTTTCACGTCGGCCAACTGATCGCCTTTCAGGTCCTGCTGATGGTAGACGCATCATATGGATTTGAGATGGAGACTTTTGAATTCCTAAACATTTGTCAAGTTCATGGTATGCCACGAGTTCTCGGTATTCTCAACCATTTGGATTGCTTGAAGGGTCTGAGTAAAGTAAGTCTTCATTATACTGCTTCATGCATCCCTTATCGTCGTTTTTCTCTGACTATCTGCCTTTTTTGTTTGACTTTTCTACTTTTTTCGCTCCTTTTTCTGTTGCTTTCGCTTGTTTCTCTGCTGTTCATATCAATTCATTTTCCTCTAGGTGAATAAGACAAAGAAAATTATGAAGCATAGGTTTTGGACGGAAATTTATCAGGTAAGCGCGAATCTGATGCCTTAAAGAAGTTATAGATCATACTTATAGGGAGCCAAGTTATTTTATCTTACGGGAATGATTCACAACGAGTACAAAAAGAATGAGCTGCATAATCTGGTTCGCTTCATATCAGTTACCAAATTTCGTCCTCTTATCTGGAGGGATGCTCACCCTTACGTTCTCTGTGATCGATACGAGGATATAACTGATGCTGAGGTTAGTTTCTGAAAAGCTTCTCCATTCATCATATTTCGAACTTCCAGCTTTTGCGTGAGCATCCTAAAGCGGATAGAACCATTTGTCTTTATGGCTGGGTTCATGGAGCACATTTCAAGAACCACTCAGCAGTACATATTCCCGGCGTGGGCGATCTTCGCGTGAAAGACGTGAGCAGTTTCTGTCTTCAGTATTTTTCATTGGCGCTACTGTGATTATTTTGCTAGCAAATTAGGAAATGATAACATTGTGTGTGTGTAGCTTGGCTCGTGGAGGCAGGGATTTTAGAATTTTCATAGATACAGCCTGTTTGCAATACAGATTCTCTTTCTAGGTTAGCAGCATCCCTGATCCATGTCCTCTACCGGAACAGTTGAAGAGAAGAGCGCTCAATCAGCAAGTATGTATTATCACGGAACACTTACTTTTTGAAATTCTTAAAGTTTTTGTATTGAAGTGTTCTTTAATTTTTAGTAGCTGATTTTCCGCATAATACCATTTACAGGAACGCATGGTGTATGCGCCGTTTTCTGGACTTGGCGGTATTGTTTACGACAAAGATGCTATATACATTGAATCGAAAGCTCACAAAAATATGGAGGTGAGCTTATCGTTCAAAACTGTTTTTTGGATGCTGTAATTTACTTCTCTAGAATAAACGGCACGAATTAGTGGAATCTTTGGAGAATGTGAAAGCTACTATCAACGAGAAACTCAGCGGAGCTAAGTTGAGATTGTTGGGAGACTCCGTACCTGTAGAGGAGGATGATGAGGTATATCTCTTCTATTAGCCATTTTGGTCTTCAGTTGAGGTAAAAAATCTCTAGGATGAAGAGGAATCCGAAGCAGGAGATGAAGAGATGGAAGTATCGGAGAACGAGCTGGCTTCCGGGTCAGACCAGGACTTCGAGGAACACATGGATGAGGATGATGGTGAGGAGTCGCATCCCTTTGGCAGTGGCGACGATGATGAGGTAGGCAGGCTAAGTCAAACTTTTTCGAAGTTTGTTATAAAAAAAAATTCTCGTAGGACATGGAGGACGATGATGAGTATGAGGATGAGCACTTTGGGCATCGAAGTGTTCGACCATCAAATGACTGGGGTGGCTTAGCTCGAAAAGCTCTTGAACAATTCCGTCCAGATGAGCAAGTGCGATTGAATTGGATGAAAGTAGTTTATGGCGAAGGTAGGTAAAATATTTTACATTCATCAGTTATCGAGACACCTAGTTGTGTGGTAATCAAACATTTGATGTAGTTCACAGTATTCTCATGAAGTCGAATTAGCCTCAAAGTGTTTATTTTCAGAAGATGAAGCCCCTGTTGTGAAAGAAGAAGATATTGCTGATGGTTTATTCAAAGTTAGAAAAGCTACGACAATGCCGTTATGGCAGCAGGTAGTTGAGATTTCCTTTTATTTCCTTTTTACCTTTTTTCTTCTAGCTAAAGCATAGTTTTAGGAAGATGGCATGTTGTGGCATCAGTGCGCATCCACGTCTTATTCGGCTCCGGATTGGACTAATGAAGAAACGAGAATGTCGATAGCGGACTGCTTTGTGACTGGCAATTGGACTGAGGACGACGAAGAAGAGAAAGAGCTGAGAGGTTTGTGCCTTTCCACAAGGGGTTAAGTACCTGATTGTTCGAAAATCAAGTTTTATCTTCTTATGCTATACCTCTCTTTTTCCAGAAAATATGGACGAAGAGATGGACGATGAGCCTGATATCAAAGAGGAAGAAGAAGATGGTGAGAACATAGGTTTGACATCATTCCCTCGATAAATTTATTTGGATATATAGAAGACGGAGACAAGAAAATGTCTGCTGTCGAACGAGCCGAGGCGGCAGCTCATGAAAGGCGAGCAGAGGAAAAAATAAAACTAAAGCAGCGATTTAATGATGACTACGACGAAACGTGCAAGCATTATAACAATTTGAAGGCAAGAAATCTTTTATCTATCTAACATCCTGAGTCTCGACTCTTCTTTCTCTTACAGAATGAAATGGAGGAGCAAGCACAACTCAATAAAAGCATTTTTGAAGGCATGGATGAAGCTGAAAGAGAGAAGCTGGAAGGTAAGCGGTGAATTTACTGTTGACCTCGGAGTTATCTCTCATTTCTCGCAGGTTTCCGGGCAGGCCGTTACGTCCGCATAGAATTCGAAGAAATCTCTTGCGAGTTTGTGGAACACTTTGATCCAACTTCTCCTTACATTGTGGGAGGTCTTTTGACAGGAGAACAGAATATGGGAGTTGTGCAGGTACCTTTCACTGCTTTAGTTGTAAAGCTTTTTTGAGAACGTGATTCTTCGTTATTCTCAGGTCCGCATAAAGAGGCACAGATGGTTTGAAAGAACCTTGAAGTCGCGAGATCCGTTGATTATCAGCTGTGGTTGGCGAAGGTTCCAGAGCCTAGTCATATACTCAATGCAGGTATCGCAGCATCTGTGGTTCTAATTTCCCTGCTACGAAATTACATGACTCCAGGATCATAATATGCGGCAACGATTTTTAAAATACACGCCTGAGCATATGCATTGTCATGCTCAATTTTGGGGACCTATCGTTGCACAAAATACGGGTTTTGTAGCTGTTCAGTCAGTAGCTGACAAGACGGTGAGTTTACTTTCCCCAGGAAGATTGCCGCTCATGTCATGTTTCCATTTCCAGCCAGGCTACCGAATAGTCGCCACTGGTGTTGTGCTAGATCTCGAAAAAGCCACTCAAGTGGTCAAGAAATTGAAACTTGTTGGTACACCTGAAAAGGTGTTCAAAAATTCGGCTTTCATAAAGGTTTGTATTTTAGAGTCGCTGTGGTGTACGTTGAACTTTCTTTCGTATTAGGGTATGTTCAATACACAAATGGAAGTCGCAAAGTTCGAAGGTGCAACCATTAGGACAGTTTCTGGCATAAGAGGACAAATCAAGAAAGGGTTGCACGAGCCAGCAGGAGTTTTTCGAGCAACATTTGAGGATAAAATTCTGATGAGAGGTAAGCAGTTTCCCAAGTTTATGCGCTTTTTTCATTTACTTTTCTCGCCTTTTCGTTTGTTTCAAATATAGAATTTTACTTTTGTACCTTGCTTCGGGACTGGGAAAATATACTCTGTATTTAATGTCTGTCCTAGTAATCTGTTTGCCGATATGGTATCCTATATATCCATTGCACTTTTATGAGATTTTGCATTGCCTTTTCTTTGCGATTGACACAGTTCATGGATATGAGGTTTTGACACATGATTGTCCTCTATATAATTTTTGTTTTTTAGACATTGTTTTCCTGAGAACGTGGATTTCGGTGCCTATACCTCGCTTCTATGCCCCGGTTATTGATCATCTTTTACCTCCTGGAGAGCCATGGGTTGGAATGCGTACTGTGGGGAAGATTCGTTTTGAACTTGGAATCAAACCAGAACAACGGGAGGACTCGCTCTATAAGGTCAGTCTGGTGTCGGGCTTGATGTCAGCTTTTATTTAATTGTATTCCAGCCCGTAGAGCGTGAAGAAATGGAGTCAGCTCCCTTGGTCGTCCCAAGTAAGCTTCAACAGAGTCTTCCATTCAAATTGAAACCAACTTATGAGGAGAAAACTAAGGAGGTAGGTTTTAATAGATGAAATTAACGTTTCAAGATTGTAACACTCGTGTTGCAGCCTAAGGAGGGTGTGATAGCTCGAAACACTGCGCTGATACTGGAACCTGAAGAGGCTAAGAGAAAGAGGATGATGGATATGCTCAGAGTCATCAACAAGTGGGTGTTTGGTAGAATTTCTGTCCAATTTTGTTTATGGAATTGAAACATTCGTTCAGAGATATCGTCAAGAAACATGAGGCGGCTCGCCAAAAACATGCGGCCGAGAAGGCCAAGGAGGTGAGTGCCATAAAAACTAGTGGAATCGTTAAGTGTTAGGTCGTCAGCCCTAATCAAGCACCTCTTTTAGGAAGCAGAGTTTGAAGCCAAACGAGAAAAGAACATCAAAGCTAGGAAAAAGGCAATCTCTCGAGTTCTAACAAAACGCGAGCAATACAAACTGAAGAAGGCCCTGGGACAGGCAGCCGCAAGCAGCAGTTGATTGTTTGACATATGCTTTGCAGACACCATCTAATCTGTTATTATTGCTAGTAAAATATATATTTGTAGTTTGATGAGAACGCGAAATAGTTATTTATCTACGCATGGAAAAATACCCTATTTTCCGGCGTATAAGCCGCAATTACTTTCGTCGCGCGCGGGCTGATGTGCGATGATCGTCGCGATGTGCGAAGCCGCGCAAGCAGCCACTACCACCTATTTTACCTAGTAGCCTGATTGTAACTTTCAGCTTTCGCTTTTTCTTGTGAAAGCATTGAAAGCACCATTGAAACGTCAACATCATCAACAATCATTGAAATCAAATGAAATAGCAGCAGCTTTAACCTCAGCAACATCTTTGAAAACAAAAAAAAAACACCGTCACCTCCATTGTATCCTTGAGGAAAAAACACAACCCAAACACCCCAAAATCGTCCGAATCTTTGGAAAGAATAAAGAAATACCTGAAAACGTGAACATGCGCAATGAAAAGCAGTCACAAAATGCAGCGAGTTTTCAGTTTGTTAGATCAAGAACTTTCTTTTCGAAGGCTCTTTCGCGCCATTGTTCGCGGCGGCGGGTGCGGCTTATCAGCCGGAAAATAGGGTAATTGACATTATCGTTTCACTTGTTATTGTTATTGTTGCTGTATGTGAACTGTTGAGTTTGGTCATAAAAATTGGAGAAATAGCAACGTCGAATGGAGGAGTGGTCAAAACCAATCATTCGTGTTTATTTTTTGTGTGTTACATAATCGAGTATTCTCTTAGCAGTGACCTATGTCAAGGCTGTGGTTCACCAAGTCAGTGCAAATTAGAATTTGTGCAGTTGAGAGATTTGAAAAGTCTGATAATCAAAAACAAAAGATGTGAGGTTTGGTAAAATTGGCAAACGAAAACGGAGAAGTGTAGTTTTCTTCTTTCAGCTCATCATATTGATTTTTGTCTTCTTGTAATTCTGGGTGAATTGCAAAATATAAAGAACTTTTCTGAATAAATTTTTCCATGTTTCGTTTAGTAGTTGGTGAAAAACTGGAGATGTCTATTATGCTAGTCAATTAACTAAGTTCTATGACAGAATCAACTTGCTTCTCAAGGTACTTCCATTTCCTATGTAACGAGATCCTCTCTCCCTTTCCTTCCATTCACTAATTTTGATTATTGGCTAAATCTTCTTGTTAGAATTTTCTCATCAGTTGTGCTAGTAACTTTCCATTTCAGATAGGGAACCATAAGTTCGAGGCTATATGATCGGTCTTGAGTCATGGTTCCACAACTTCTCGCAATTCGTCTATTCAGCCAACACCCCCGAATCTTTAGCTGACATTCCGCGACCTTATGTAGAGTACTGTATCTGGGGATTGTGCAAGGGAGCTGAGATTACCAGCGTTCTTGGTATATTCCAGTTAATGCTTTTTCTGTGGGTTGATGATTTCGCGTTTAGGAGGATGTATAGCTCATCCAATCTATAGATGGTATCTGCATCGACAGCTGAAGCCAGAGAATACTACTCCAAATTCCGGCAAGATCATCAGGAGTACTTGTAGGCGATTGCAGGTTTGTCAGTTGACTAAAGCGGGATGGTATGGGAGGGGAGGGGGGCGGGGGGGGGGGGGGGAAATATTATCCTTTGTATTCACGAGACGTTTAGCAAGCAATTTGCTGCAAACGCTCGCATGATTTAAATTTTTCACATTTCTGAGGGCCACTGTGCACAAATTTCATAAACACCGGAGCATTCTGTAAAATATTAGGGTCGGTAGTAATCTAGTCGAAACTCCGAGTTTAAAGCTCCGCGTTAACTCAGAGATAACTCTGAGTTCCGTTTTTGAAACTCTGAGTTACGCTTATTGAAACTCTGAGTTCCGCTTTCGTAATTCCGAATTTCAACTCTCAAGCTCGGAGTTTTGCTTTGAGGAGCTGTTAAGCACTTTGCTGCAAAAGCGACGTTAAAGTAGGGACTCGAACCTATATGGTCTAGCGTAAAGATCCTATCACTAAACCGCTAGACCATGACACACCCATGAACCCTAAAATTGCTTTGCCATAATGTACTCACTCATTCCATTTACACTTAGCAGGTCAAAACAAGTTATACCAAAGCCTCACTCATTCCATTTCTATCGGGCAGTGATGGAGTGTAAGTGTAAGCTGTGGACTTTGAAATACACTGATTCGCAGAGGCTCGCTGTGTCCTACTCTGTACGCCTTACTCATTCATGCCTTGTGATGGCATTGAAACTCACCGGACGATGCCGAATATCACGAATAAAATGTAAACAACTACTCATTCCAAAAGCTTTTCCATGTGAGAACGGTAATTTTGAGAGGATGAAATTTTTCGCAGAAGAACAAATGCAAATTTGAATAGGTTTTTGAACTTTTTTCTGGTTAGGCACTTGCTATAAGGACAATAACACTCTGAGCCACATCTCTTTGCAAAAATCTTCTCAAATGCTCAATTAAAACCTTGGCAAATCGACCATCGAGCAACCAATACTTTTCGGCGTCGTTTTTGTAAAGTAGTAGACTTTTGATCCCTTTTTTGGAGCAAAGCCCATGGCTTGCACATTGAGATGCTAAGCACATCCACGACTTTGCAAAAAGTGGTGATATGGATCCGATATGCGAGCCGAAAGCCAATTGGACCCGGCTGACGCGCAATTTCTGAGGGATCCACTTAACAAATCCGCTCGTGCTTTCGCATTTTGGACTTTTATACTGGTAGCATGCGCTATGCAAGATTTGGGCTCAGCACGTTGGCTGGAACTCGCGCTATGAATTTCGTGACAGACAGACATTCAGACACACACACACACAAAAAACGTAAACACCCTTAGCGCGTTATTATAGTAGGATTTCGAATCATTCTATAACAGAAAAATAGCAACGTATTGATTAGCACTTTTTGCACAGGCCTTTAAAGTCGTTGCGTGAGCCCGATTACCGTACCCCATTCCCTCTTGTGTTTGATGAAAAAAAAGGCGATTGACGCGCATAAACTGCAGTGTAATGTGGTCTCCATGGTCTAGTGGCTAAGGGGTGCGACTCTCAGCTGCCAGACTCGGGTTCGATTCCCCACTCAGAAATTCCTTTTTGCCACTAACACTGGCTCCAAAAAACAGCTGATTTCTCCACAGATCACTCTATAACAGAAAAATAGCAACGTATTGATTAGCACTTTTTACACCGGCCTTTGAATTCGTTGCGTGAGCCCGATTACCGTACCCCAATTCCCTCTTGTGTTTGATGAAAAAAAGGCCATTGACGCGCATAAACTGCAGATGCAATGTAGTCTCCATGGTCTAGTGGCTAAGGGGTGCGACTCTCAGCTGCTGTAGCCCACTATGTTTATTGTCCTTACGGCGACTACCAATCCATAAAAATTCCGAAAGCCTATTCGAATTTGCATCTGTTCTTCTAAGAAAGATTTTATCCATGCGAAAATACCGACCTCACATGGAAAACCTCTACGAATGAGTAGTTGTTTACGAATTATTCGTGATAACCTAAGCCTACATAGCGCGGTGAGTTTCAATGTCATTATTATGCGGGAATGAGTAACGCGTACAGAAAATAGGGCCAGTGCGAGCCTCTGCGAAGCAGAGGTAACGCACTGGTTTCTATATAAAGGTGGAAAGTGCACCGTTGCTCCATAATCAGGTTACCCCAAAAGTAAACTCCTTTTCTAAATGAATCAAACTGTTTTTCTCTTAGTAGATTTAGGGTACCACTTGATAGAGCGGAGCGAGCTCTACAAATGACTACTAAGGATTCGTGTAAGTCGTAATCTAGGTAAAGTTTAGAGCTAAAATGAAGAAAAGTTTACAAGCGTAAATTGTTTTTTTTTGCAAAAAAAAATCCTACCTTCCAACTTGCTCGTATAATGGTCACATAGTAGTACTTGAAAATGCCTTTACTGGATCTTTTACGCGCTTGAAAGAAGACAAGTAAAAAATGGCAATTCGCCCTTAGTCGCTCCCACATTTGTCATTATATACTGCAAGCCTTACTTAGTATAACCTTAAAATTTTACTTCCGTATGTGCCGTGGTAATCGAGAACTACCAAGTTCACAACAAAACTCGAGTGAATTTCTTACATTTTTGGGCTACTTTATCTCTTAATTTTTAGACCCAAAAAAATCCGTGAAATGCATTTTTGAGTTTTACAATGTCTATTATATAACGATCAAGTTGAAGGTTCGTAAAAGTTCTCTGGAAAGAGATCCGATTTTTAGGGTAGTTGAAAATTTTGTTTTTTGGCTTCAATTTTCATCTGGATTACGACTTAGGCGGATCTTTGGTGATCATTTTGTCTACCTGTTTCGCTCTCATGTTGCCCTAAGAGTCTGCCAGGAAAACAACAGCTTGATTTATTAGAAAGGGGTTTGCTGGGACTTATTAAAGAACTTTTTAACCTATAAAAGAACTTTTTTCTTGTATCGATCCTCAAAAGAAACAATGTTGAGCTGTAAATTTTCCTGATGTTGTAAGCTTTCTGACTCTTGAATTTTAGGGTCGGTTTCTCCTTTTCGGTTTGTTCGCTGGTCCTTCTCTTGCTCTTCTTCATGCCTATAGCATGGGTGTGTACCTTAAGATTCGATTACTCATATGCACTTCCTCTTTCTTGTGAATTGCAGGTGACGAAAATTTGGTACGAAAGCGATGCTATAAAATTCGCTGCGATACATTCCCGTTATCGATAGTGAGTCGTACGAATTCATTGATAATTCTTCGCACTTCTTTATCCGTTCAAGGATCGCTGCGCTGTTATGCTTGGCTTTGTGGGATGGTACTGGAAGAGATTCCAGGGTGCTGTAGACGGAATCAACATAGGAATAGCTTATGCAATTTTCAATGAAAAAGTTAGTCCCACCATTCACTGTTCAACCAGTAAGGCTATAATGGTTGCAGATCATTGCTCCAAGAACATCGCCGTTGTTCAAAGATCGAGTATTACCTGAGCAGCGGTACGAAGACGTGGTAAATGCCTCAGAAAGTCGAAGTAAATTGAGGAAATTCTTGGCCGAAGAAGATAGGCGGAAGACTAGCGAAGTGCAAAGAATTGGTATAGAGGAACATAGTTCATGATAGATAATAAACTAGGTCTTGATATCGTTTTTCGAGGAAGACAAGAATGAGTAAAGATGAAACCGTGCAAAGGTTGGCTAAAATTGACCTCATCAAAATTTTATCGTATATATCTTAGTACTTTTTCTACGAATTCTTGCAAAGGAGATGGTGAGCTGTTTGTAGGTAAGCTGCCTCTTTGAATGGAGCAAGCTGATACGATTATTAGGTTTGGCTGCAAATTTCAATATGCTTATAGTTAGTATCTTGAGATCGAAGTGTCAGAGGCAGCGTCTTGGCAAATTTAAAACCATGAGATTTTAAACTGGTTTGTCGCCTAACTAAGCTATTGCCCAAGCGGTAAATCAAATGTTATAATTAGAAAGAGATGCTATCTCCAAACTGTCCAATACCATACTTTCTCTCCAGCGAACCAATCAGCGTCCCGAATACGGTGTCGGGAGAGGCTAGAGTTTTTTCCCGACCGCGGAATCAAATGACATGTCGCTTGGGTAGTGTTTTGACTAGGATTCTTCGAACAGTTTCAACACCAGGACATTAAATACCAGAATTTGCGAAAGTTTGATTTCAAGAGTAAGTGAGAGCGAACAGACATAGTTTTTGGCTCGTACGGGTTTAGTGGCTGCAGTAATTTATTGTTACAAGAAATACCATGCGACCTAAAAAGATACCCTTTTGAGAGAGCTATGTGAAGTTTTTGTGGCTAAGTAATGGTCCGTTTGTCTTCCTGGCTTGTCCTCAAAAGCATAAGATAGGGTAACACATGTCGAAGCAAAATAACTTTATTCAAAAATGAGTAATTTTAGGATGATCTTGATATTCAGGAAAAACAGAAACGTAGCTGTAAGTGATGAAGGTTTGCGACATGTCATTCAAATCTTCGCACTGCTCGGACGCGAACGCTGTGTGCTAGTTGTGCTAAAATGCCCTTCGGCACTCGATGAAGCGCCGGTTTGCCGAGGTCGCTCAGAAGATCCTGGTCTAGCTTCTTTAGGGTGGTGTAGCTGACTTCTGAGCGATATCAGGTTTTTCAAATCTCTCATGGTACTTATATGCGATACGGCTTTTGCACGGCTACCTTCTTCGGGTTTCGGCTGTTTTATAACACTGAATACTTGTGTCGGAGCGTCTTCCCATTGACTTGATCTTTCTTTGAGATGTAAGGCTTGTTTGTTTGCTTGTTCTTGCAGCTGTACGCTCAACGATATCATTGGTTTTTCCCTGCCACTTGCTTTTCCAACACCAAGTTTCCCAGTGAATTTTCCGCGTCGTTCCGAAGTGGAAACATGTTCTGCTTCTTCTGGAGGAGGACTGTACATTCTGCGTACAGATTCTGCAGCTTTTGTTTTGCGCTTATTTTTCTTTGCTTCTCTGAAGTTATGCAATACATTCATTTTTTGTGAAGAAATGTTTAGAGGCAGCGTTTAGCCAGATCTAAGTGCCTTGACTTCTTTTATGGACGCTGCTTGGGAGGCCTCGTTAGGCCATTGCCCAAGGTGCACCTCATATTGCTTATCTGTGACCGTGAAATTTTGGCTTAAACTCTCGTCCATACCGTACCTTTTCCACGCGGACCAGTGATATACGACTAAAATTTCGAGGCCACAAATGAATTGTATGAGAAACGGCTTGGGCAACGGGGTTAATCGAGGCCTCTCAATCAGATTCTGAGGAAGAATGTCAGGAAGCCATATCTGCCCAGACACTGCCTTTGAATTATCAACACTGTACTTCTTCTTCTTTGACGGTTGTTCCTAAAAGGAATTTTTCTCACTGAACTACAAATGCGTTTGGTTGACAAAGTCCCAAGTACTACCTTTGGAGGTTCTGGAATTTCTTCAAACTTCAATGGGATTGGGCATGGCTTGTTAATTATCATACGTTTCGCTTCTTCTTTTGTTTTCCCCTAAAAATCATCTACATTATATCCGACAATAAAAGCGTTTTCATAATGCTTGCCATCAACTCCCACGACGCCTCTCTTTTCTTCTCTACAGCCCAAGTGCACCAACCCGGAAAACGTTTGAAAATCAGAGACACATCTGGAAGGTTATATGAGTTTGCTATGAAGAGAGTGATATTTAGCTCAAACCTTTAGCTGGGTCCGTAGGCATCCCTGTGTATTCTAAGCAAACTCGTAATTTTTCATAGCACCCCTCATGATGAAAGAGGGCCGCTGGTGGAATGTTGAATGAAAACACCGATGCCAGCAGAATGAATAATTTGTCCTTGCGAGGTCTATAAGGGGATAAAGTTCAAAAAGAAATAAATCAATTCTGAAAATAATGTGTAAGATCGCGGTTTTCATCAAACAATACAATAATTTGCGTACACATCAAATATCAAAACAAATTTACGTGTTCCAGTGAGAAGGCTGTTGCTCATCGCAAAAGCAATTGTAAGGTCGTCTATTTACTTGCAGTGTGAACTGATTCGGGGCACGGACATGTGGAATTGCATGAAGGTGACGTCCAGGGATAATTCCGAATGCCTCAAAGAAAAATAGTTTGAGTTGGCAGGAAGATTTATGCGCAATTCGAGCGAAATTTGGTAGCATTTTCAACTCTAAACCTACTTTTTGCTTTTCTAAAATTAGCAGAAGGTTTGTGCTTTACAAATAAGCTTAAGTTCACAAAGCTTGCAAAGAGGTCTCAAATTTTGCTAAACGAGTTTTTGCCAAAAAATTGGCACACTTCATGCTCGAACACTTTATCCACTTCTTTCACTCTATCGGTCGAACTGGCCATTAGCGAAGTAGTTAAAGCGGATCAAGAAGGTAATGTGAATTGAGCATGGGGAATCTCTCACATATTGCTAGTTTATATGATACTATAGCACGTTTAAGTATCGTGTGAAAATGTGGGCATGAAAATGCAAAAATACAAGATTCGTTTTGAATCTGTCGTTTTACCGGAAAATCATCTTATTATTGCACTTTTTCAGCAAAGATGCCAAAAAAACATTAATATATACAGGGTGGAGGACATTAGGTCGCCGAAATTGGAAGAGTCCCGCGCGGATTCCCTGCAGGAACGCATGTCCGCGCATGTACGAGGGTGCGTGTTTGTCGCAAATGACCGCGGGGACCGCCCTTTTTCGGCGACCTAATGTCCCCCACCCATATATACACCTCAAACGAAAACTGTTTTTCAATATAAAATCCCTTGGAAAATGTGGTCTGCTAATTTTAATTTCAATCTAGTCGTTAACAACATTATCAGCTCACATACGTGTTTCTCTGTTTTATATCACTGTTTGTTGGATAGCGAACTGTTGGAGGTTAAGGCATATCAGGTATTGCGGGTACTAGAGACTCTTGGGCGGTTTTGCCCGTAACGAGAATACAAGTACAAAAGACGGTGGTTCAGGATTTATTAACGAGAGTTAACAAGAGTGCAGCGAGTATGCGAGCAGGAGAACAATACCTTTCTGTTCCACGGTAATTATGCAAGTGAAGAGAGGGGAGTAAGTTCGGCCACGCCTATCTCGGCGTGACCTAAGGTCGCGGCGGAGCATCATCATCGGCTCGATGATACTCCCGCCGTGAGGGAGACAGCCAAAACACAGCATATGAAATACAAAAACAACAATTTGATATCACATGTCGCGTCCTTGATCTTGCTGGAGCAGGACTGAGCTGGGCATTGAGCAGACAGTGGACACGGTGATGGAGTCGGCTAGAGACGGGCTGTTGATGGCTGGGGGACGGCTGGAGCTGGGCTGCTGCTGGACCGACAACGCTGGTGGTGTTGAACTTCTTGGGCTGAGGCGGGCTGGAGGCAGGTGACGTTGGACTTCTCGGGCTGAGGCGGGCTGGAGACGTTGTGACGTTGGACTTCTTGGGCTGAGGCGGGCTGGAGGCGTTGTGGCGTTGGACTTCTTGGGCTGAGGCGGGCTGGAGGCAGGTGACGTTGGACTTCTCGGGCTGAGGCGGGCTGGAGGTGTTGTGGCGTTGGACTTCTTGGGCTGAGGCGGGCTGGAGGCAGAAGTTCAGTGCCGCGGACGTTTCGGTGCGTTATGTGGGGCTCGCCTGCTGGAGCAAAGGAGGAAATTGTGGCCAAGGCCACAATTTCCACACTTTACCCCGCAGTCATCTTCATGCGCTGCTTTCAGGCAGCGCAGGCAGAGCCCCATCGTCGCGGCTTGTGCGGCCTTCTCGACGGGATCCCTGAAACGAACGCACCTACCGGAAAAATGGTTGTCTCGGTTCTCCTCCACACTGCAAAATACGCAGTTGGATCTGGGTGAGGTGCGTTCCAGAATCCGTTTGTTCTGCTCCACAATCTGGGCGTTCGACTCGAGGATTCTGCCGTTCTGCTCGACAATGGTTCTGCACAGCATCTCCAACGCGGCCAGCTTGGGTGCCAGGTGGGTGTCGTCGTAGCGGTCCAAGTCCTCCAAGGCTTCTTGTAGCTCCGCCGTGAGTGACATCGTTGGATGGTCGTCTTCACCATCCGCAGATATTTATAGGAGAAGGGAGGTTGTGAGGCTTATCTTATCGAAGCTAACATGAATCATTGTGTTTTCAATTACTGCTTTTACGATTCTTCAATGGAGTTTTACGACAGCTTGATAATATTAGACGAGTTAGGTGTGAGAGTTACATATTACCGATTTGAGGTGCGAGGAGGGACAACGAGGTCATCACTAATTACGACATTTTGGGGGCACCAGTTTTGAGGTGTGAAGTCGCCTGCAGAGCAATGATGATTACGAGGTGTACGAGGGTATGTTTCTGAGGTGCGATGATGTATGTTTTGAGGTGCGAAGGAGGAGTTAGTGCTCTAGGGTAGGTGAAAGCATACTTAAGGGCAGAGCTGTTACATTTTCTATGTACATTGCACTCTTTTCTTCTTTGCTTCATATTTTTTTTATATATTTGGATCATTTTCTTTACTCTCCTTCTTCTTACAAATGAGATGATAAGCTAGTGTTAGTACTTTTTTGCATGGGTAGAGCACAATTTTCAGTAGCATGACTAGCAGCATAGGGCCGCATAAATATGTTAGTCCTGCGAGAGTGAATGTTGAAGCGAGTATGAATGTTGCCATTTTCCAGTGGTTTCGTATTGTTTGAATTAGTGGGGTGATGTCTGGGATAGAAAAATCCGTTAACCACTGATGTTTAATAGAGAGCGTGTGCTCAGAGGTTCCAATGTTATAGTTTTTGTGAGGAATGTGATAGTGAAGATGTGCTTGCAATCTGTGCTCACTTTCTGATGCTAAGCAATCTGATTTGCACGATTCGTCAATAAGGGCATATTCGAATGCTAGTAAGTGATAGGTTCTAACATTAAGTGGTCCGCATTCAACCGTGAATTCGTGACTTTCGCAAATGACCGTTATTTCCATGCGTGTGTGGGAGTGGCATAGGGTCGTAAGCTTAGCTCCTTCCTCACAATCGTAGCATCCTGTTAGATTGACAAACTGTAGCTTGCATTCATTTTTGTCGACAATTTGTGAGTTGTTCATAAGCGATCGTGACTCTAACGTTATGACAAATTCTCCATCATCTGTAAATGCGGCTATAGTCTCGTCAGTCTGTTCGAGTTTCACATTAGGATTTGCATGGGGTAACGTGTAGCTTGAATTCTGTAGTGAGACTAGGGAATCCTCGGGGCACTGGCAATAGGCTGTGCCGTCACAGTGGCATTGAACTGTATTTCTGCATGTTTGAAACTCCTTTTCTGCTTGAATTCTACTTGCGCATTCAACTGGGATTGAGAATTGTGACGGTAGTAGGAAAGCTTCACCTTCTGCTAGTGCAAATCTTTGGTTCAGCAGTGGTGTTGTGGGCTTTTGGACCGAAACCGCTGTTATGTTGAATCCACTGAACGACTCCTTAATGTAGGGTTTGATGTGCAGATTCGCCGAATCCTCGCCATTCATTCTGGTTATTGTAACATCAATTTCTATGGATGGTGTCCATTCGGTGCACCTAACTACTTCGTAGACTGTTCGTGATGTTGGTTGATTTGCCACTCTGTAGAAGCGACAGGCTGGGAGTGGTAGGAGGCATCCACATGGTAGTCCCCCGCAAATGGATGTGCATCCAGAGTAACCCGGATATCCACTGTACTTCTTTAGTTCGCTTATCGTCTCATTTGGTCTCACAGTTTGACATTTTGTGGGGGTACATGTTCCTGCCTCCGCGCACCTTTCCACGTAGTATACATGTGTTAGTGTGCTCCTAGTGAAGGTCTCTATAGCTTTCAGGCATCTCATTTTCATCGTTTTTTTGACTACTTTCACTAATGCGATTGTCTTATTGGCATGATGAATTTCGATGCAAGTTTCGTGAATCAGTCGATTAAATAGTAGTTCTTTACTATAGTGGTAATTGCAGGATGATTCTTCGCAAAGAAGATTCGCTGATTGGCGGGTATAACCACTTTGACAGGCGGCTGCGGACCCTATAAGCATGAGCGCAAGGCTCAAGGCGACAGTGCTGTATGGCAAGGGCGCCGGAAAGAAACGCTGAAGCGGAGTGGTCCGAGGAGCGTTGGAAGATGCTGGTGTTCTTTCCGCATGTGCAGCTAAGTTTTTTCTCGTTCTTGTTAATATGCCAATGGTCGCTACTAGTATTAGGACCAGGACGTAAATGAGAACTGCTAGTGTGGCGATTGCCGCAATGGGGGAGCATTGTGGGTTGCCTAGCAGGCTTTTTGATAGGAAATAGTTGTAATCGCAGAAGTTTGGTCTTGTGCAATATTTGTCAAACTTGAGGCTACTATTCGCTGTCAAGCTGATTTTAACTTTGACTCTCTCGTTGTGTGGGGCAATGGGGATGGCATAGGAGTTGGCACGCGTTGAGTTCTCAAGTGTTGTGCACTTGCCATTGAGACATATTTGAAAAGAAGTGTTCTGAGGTGGGATGTAAATTTTTCCGTTATAGCACGAGATTTTTGAGGGTGTTATGATCCCATGGGCTGAGGCGGTGGATAACACGGATAAGACAAGGAAGATTAGCTGAAGTGGGGACCGCAATAGTATATTTTGATGCGTCAATCTTGCTTCAAAATCCCTTATGACATCATATGCCCTTGTTTTTGAAGCGCGCGCCAAATGCGATCTGTCTTTTTGAGCAACACAATTAACAGCTTTTGCTCCCGTTTGTTTTGTCTCATCAGCGTCGGGAATTCTTTCCACTGGAACATTTTTGTCGGGAAGACTTCGTACCTCTAGCGGAAACAGCTTGTTTAGGGGGCGCTGAATGATTTTGCGGTTTGGTAGCATCACTTTAGCCGATCTGCACAAATCATCTGCACTTTTAATAATTTCAACGACTTTTCCGTATGACCAACTACCTCTAGGGAGTAGGTCTTCTTCAATTAAAACTACCTCGCCTTCGATTGGAATCATTCTGGTTAAGTGGCGTGGTTGTTTGAGATTAGATTTTTGCGATTCTCTCAATGCGCTGAGGTATTCCGTGCTCCACCTTACCCAAAACGTGTTAGCTATACTTTCTGAGGTGTTATAAGCCTCGATAGCT